AGTCCAAGTCTGTCTTGTTGTCCCTTACCGCACCTGTCGACATTGACTCCAATATCTTGTAGTCCAAGGATCTTACAGCACCTGTCGACAGTGGCTCTTTACCTTGTAGTCCAAGGCTGTGTCTTGTTGTCCCCTACCGCACCTGTCGACAGTGACTCAATGTCTTGTAGTCTATGGCTGTCTTGTTGTTCCTTACCGCACCTGTCGACAGTGGCTCCTTGTCTTGTAGTCCAAGGCTGTATTGTTGTCCCCTACCGCACCTGTCGACATTGACTCCAATATCTTGTAGTCCAAGGCTGTCTTGTTGTCCCTTACCGCACCTGTCGACAGAATCTCCATGTCTTGTAGTCCAAGGCTGTCTTGTTGTCCCTTACCGAACCTGTCGACAGAGGCTCCATGTCTTGATGTCCAGGTCTGTCTTGTTGTCCATTACCGCACATGTTGATATAGCTGCGGGAACCGTAGCTTCTAGACCCGATCTTTTTATTTTTTATTGTTATCGGACCATACAGCTACGCTATTCATAGTGTAAAAAAATACGATGTTAGCCACTTCGACTGAGGTCGGGAAACAAGTCAACATTGATGTTCACTTATGATATATCGTTGTCTCCATTGTGTCATTATCTACAACTTTATGTGTATACATAACTCCATTCATAAACGTGGAACCGTCCAAGTCATTTAAATCCATACTATATCCATACTCCGCCCACAAATGTCAGCCATTTTTCTCTGCGATATCTCTGATATAGGTCACGTAACAAGGGACGGATAACTCTAATGTTAATACAACACTTTCCATTATATACTTTACGACAACATCGGGTTTATGTGAGTTTCTGTTACAAATGAACACATTTTTCCTTATCTGATCTGTGTTCTGTTTTTTGCTATCGATAATACTATGTATTGTGAACAAATTCACACCAACAACGCTGAGACTTCGTGTCAAGTATCGATCTCTGGACGGTAGAAAACAGTTGCACATCGGCAAGTCACTTGGTACGTATTTTAATTATTCTTTTAACTAATTATTCATCATATTGTCTACCTTCTTATGGATTATAATTTTAGTCTTTCTTTGTGAACCTCGTGGAGAATTATGTCGACATGATGAAGGACAGTTGTTTACACTGTGGACCAGATTTAATTTTAAAAATCGTGGTTTTAACGAAAGTTTATTGATTTCAAACTGAACACGTCTCCTTTGGTGAATTTGAGATCTGTGATTGATGGTACAAATGGTTATACTTTAATTCCTAGCAAGAAATGTGTATGTCAATCATGTGCGTCGATTTGTACAAAAATCCGTTCTTTAAAATCAAGTGTGAACTCTGCTATTAAGGAATTCGATAAACTTTCCATCACTAATTAAAAACGCTAATGTATTTCTTCTACGCCTGAACAAATCTCCTCTAAGGAAAAAACCTAGCTTAGTTATGAAACCACAGAAGACTCCTGTGTTATCCCCAATACCCCTGTTATCTTAACAACCTCCAAAAACCAAAGTATTTATTGGCAGTTTTTTAAAATATATTCAAGACTCCAAATAGTATACAGCGTTTAGGCTTCTATATAAGAAAAGTCGTGCTGCTTAGGAGACATTTGTGAAATTTAAGAAATATGTTGTGAGGGTAGAGTTGAAAAAAAATGAAAAAAACAGAAACTCTTCTTCGATGTCCATTAACCGTGGAAAACATTAACAAGTTCTCTTGGGGAAATGCCATCAGACAATTAGAAGATGCGCCATTGTTAAGTTCGTCAGTAACGGCAGCTATCACCACTCCACGTACAGAGAACAGATTGTAAGTGTACAGCTGTCGTTTACAATACGACCACAGGTCCAGGGGTTCGTTACAAATGTATGAAATACACATACGCTATACCGATATGGGTCACAACACACATAAATATACGTTTGTATATTTTACATGTATTTCATATGTATGTTTGTTTATTTCAGATATTTGTAACGAACGCCTGTGGTACGACATTACTGCTCCCAGGTATTCTGATACACAGTTAACACGGACAATGCATAACGGATTGAATCACAGGAACGTGTCACATGGAACAAAACTGAAAATATAACGCTCAGCCACAATTACTAGCTTCGTCTGTCAATACACCCATGATATTATAGTATTTTGATCCATGTGTCACGTCCCTGTTATTCAATCCGCTATGTTTTGTCCGTATTACCTGTGACCAACTATATGTATCTTCAGTTTTGTACCATGTGACATGTCCCTGTTGATTGAATGAACAACAGGGCCGCTCTCCAAATGGCGTTTATGGAATAGGGATCGACTTTAAGTGATTTAACGTTGTTGTGTGGCAAACCTCGGCAAATACTTTCAAGGCCTACATATATATGGACAAACCAGTTGGTTCACACAAACGAACAGGTCATGGTATGTTGCTTTACCTGTTTAAAGTACAGGTGACACCAGGCAATCCTGGCGTGTTGATACAATTTCAATATCATATGTTATACCAATATTATATCTGGTATGTCATGAACCAATATTTACTCCATCAAACGGCCATCATGATCAAGAAAATATATGAACTTTCCAAGCTTTCAGGTAAGACTGTTTACTCATGCCAAATTTTACAATATTTTAGGAACGAAGGCGTAGGCGTGACAGGTTATGGAGTGGCGCTTGGTAATATACTTTAAATACAGGCCCCTATGGCATTTCGACTCTTACAGGAGATTATGTCTGTGGAACTCTGCAGAGCAGGATGTGGACAGAAGGTACACTGAAAACAAACCTTATCGAAGGGTAAGTTAGCTTATGCCATGGCGCAGCGTCCGTCGTCCGTCCGTCGGTCCGTCAACGTTTCCTTTAAATGGTAGTCCTGAACGGCTTATTAGTGAATTTTAACTAAATTTGTTCTGGAGCATCTTGGCACTCGATTTTGTATCAATGGTGGACGTGGCCCTCCATGGGGCTGATGAGAGGGGCCCAATAGAGGTAATACCTTTAAAATCCTTTTTCTACCACAAGGTTTAAGGTATTTCATCCCAATTTTGTCTGGATCCGTATGATCCTTAGGCCAAGGGGACTCGATTTTGTATAAACGGAAGGTGTGGCTCCACTGGGGGCATAGGGGTGGTTCCGAATATGGGAAATATAGGTAAAACTGTAAAATCCAACTCCGGCATAGGGATTAAGGTTTTTCATCCCAATCTAGTACGGAGGATCCTTGAGCCAAGGGCACTCAATTTTGTTTAAATGATGGGTGTGGCTATCAGGACAAAGGAGCGGGCCCAATAGGGGAAAACCTTCGAAATCCTTTTACCATAGGGAATACATGACTTTATTGCAATTTTGTCCCCATCAAGTTGTCTAGTAGTGCCTGTTACTATTCATTAAAACATCTTTGATTTTAACATTTGAAGTTTGTTCTCGCTATATCTCCAGAAATACTGGATGGGTATTTCTGAAATTTTATGTGTATATTCTTACCTCATATCAAGTACAACATATCCAGGTGAGCCCTTCTGGGCCTCTTGTTTAGGTGAAACATTTACCGACTTCAGAATTATCTTCCCTCCCAAGATTATTTCAATGGTCTGAAGGAAGGGGTGGAAATTTGCACACAGTGGATAGTCTGTGCCAACTTCCGCTGCTTCGAGGACCTCCAACCACCTCAGCAGTCACGGCACCTCTATTCTAAGGAGTCAGCAAAGAAGTCTGAGTTTGTATCTATATATTATATTCTGTGTTTGGTACATACATATCATTACATTGTTTGAAAATAATAGATATTCATTCGTATTGCATAAGTAGAACATTATGTACCATGAATTCGTCACCATTTCATGATACTCTAAAATTGATTAAGAAAAAGTAATCAAAGTACCTGGTAACTTTCAACAATTTCAATACTACAATATTAAATTTCTATTTTTCACACGTATGTTATATATAAAGCATTTTTGTTCATTGACGTATTACGTACGATACTACGCACTCTTTATCTTAAAATACTGATACTCTAAGTATGTCCACTGTAATTGGGAACATCCGCTATTTTTCAACATGGTTAACTGAATCGATAAAGATAAAATGGCAGCTTTCATTCATCATCTTGATGTACAATATAGTTGCAGTTATAGGACTATAATATGTCCGCGAAGTACAGACTGCCCTCGTATACAAACCGCCAATTGGTTGCTGATTTTAATAAAGTTTTCTCTTACGCCATGTCGCACTCTGTGAAAATGCTGTGACCAATTTAGCCCAAAATTCAAGCTATAGACTTTGCAAAGTTTTAGGAAATATAATTAACTGATTGATGATAAATTGAATAAGTGAATAAGATATGATATTTACATTCTGGGCATCAGCGCATCCACTACCCTCCGCCTCTCGTTAACTTACACCATTACTTTTCCCGAATGAAAACTGTACCACTCTTACGATATACCACACATTTATGAGTCAACGCCCATTTGTACGTAAAACATAAGAACGGTCCACAAAGCAAGGTAAAGGATAAAAATACCTCGCTTCGTTTTGATACACCACTTCTTAACATAATTATACTCGCAGCGTAGCGCAAAACAATAAATGTACCCATGTATGTTCGTTTGTGTGTGTATGTGATTGTGTTTAAATTCATTATCATAATTATCAAAATGTAAAACCCTTCAGCTGGTCTTTTTATTTCATACAGAAGCCGGACGTTCTTGATATGAGGATAGAAGCTGATATATAAATATATATATCCCGATTTCCGTAGTGACCTACCATACTCTACACAACTTATATATCGCCTTTTCCATTGTGAAACATTTCGTTGTTATATTCACCACGCTACATTGCCGTCTGTTTTGATAACACCAGATATTGGATGACAAATGGAGGAAGAAAAGCGAGACTCCTTACACAAGATTCTTTTTCCATTCAAGATTATATCCATGACTTTGGAAATAACTGTCAGGCAGCACTTGACAATCAAATTAGAAAAACGAACACCTTGGTAGCAACTATACATTGGAAACTGTTTAATTGCAATTCATCTGCATGAACACATTGAAACAGAGTACAAATCATCCCGTTGCAAACATTGACTATATCATATCTGAAAAAAAACAGAGAAAAACGTATTGTGACATACACAAAATAGCTATTAATAACAACCTTTCAAACAACATCTAGGTTTCTCCCATTCTGTAATTGTTTTTTCCCATATTAAAAAAAAAATGAATAAAAGTGTATAAGCAAGCCAACATTGTTTTTTGCAGACTTTAATAACTAAGCATACTTAAAATTGCATCCTTGAAATGAATTGAAATTTGGTGAAGTGTTATTTATATTGTCTTACAAACAGTTTATGGAAATATATGAAATATAATTCTTGTGATCAATTCATCCGCTAGATTACCGTTTAAATGTGTTATTTAAAATTGTGTATCTTTCTGTTATCAATATTGTATTGTCAAATAGCAAGAGAATTGGCAAAAAAATGAAACAACCCCTTATGTTTTGAAAATAAAACTTTCATTATTAAATACCTTGATGTAAGGTATTTAATAATGAAAGTTTTATTTTCGAAACGACCAGATGCATTTACATATATTAAGTTTTTCGTTGGATGTAATAATGAAATTTAATTAAACGTCAATTGGTTTTAGAGTAATCCTTATCCCAAGGAATTCGATGTTTAAACTGGAAAACGAACCTCTGTGAGTATTGAAGTGTAAGTGCTATTGTAATGTGCGAGCTGGCATACATCCAGCTGCTGACCCGTTTAGACGTTGCCAACCTATTGATCTTGTTCCCGGGTTTGTACCGAATCACAGGTAAAACTACATATTTAGCTTCCTAATCAGGTGGTATTTCCCCTCATATACTGTGGCTATTTTACTGTTCTTAATAATACATTGTAGTTATGTCATGCACTTTATCAAAGTTGGTTCTTCCTGATGTAAAAACTGATACTCACTTTTCTTCAAGATATAGCAATCAATATTGTTACAATAATCGCTGGCACAGCAAGCATCGCATATAGATACGCCATTTACTATCTCTCGGCCTGGATGACCAGCAACATCATTGGCGGCTGAGTTCTGGCACAACTGAGATAATATATACATATGTATATTAAATATAAGAAACAATTGGCATAGAAGTAATAACGACAATGCAGACAAAGACATTTGTCAAATTTTATATATGTAGTAGTAATATTGAATCAAATTTTTTATCGCACCTAAGACAGATATACCATGTTAATCACCCATGCTGAATATTTTTTCTCGTATGATCTGTCTGGTACCTTTAGGTGACATTTCGCGGATTTTCACGCAGTGATTCATTCATCTGGTCGTTAACATCTTGAAATGGACAAGCTGCTTTATTAATATTATGTTTGTCGTTATTGTGTTTGATGTCCTTAGATATCTGATGTTGTAGATCAAATATAATCTACATGTTGCGTTGTCTTCTATTTTTTCCGCGGGAGCATTCGAATGTTGCTTAAGAAGTGAAGATGTCATATTTATTTAAAACCCCAAATAGGATACTTGTAGTCTTAAGCTAAAAGATATTATGAGCGAGAAACAAAGTCAATTACGTGTAACTGAACAAGATCGGGTTATCTCAGTATCGGGCTTAGATTTATAGAATATCTAACCCCCTTCGGGGTCTGATAGGGGAATCCCAACTTGAGGTGGGGAATTATTAAGTTCCCAAACACATGGCTTGACCTGTACGATTTCATATTATTTAATAGAAATACAGGTAATTATAAATCAAAGTGTATCACACTCAATGATATTTGATAATTTGTTAACTAGTCACTTACATGTTTTTCTTGACATCCAAACGAGTAACGAAGTGAAGAATATTCGATGTGTATACCAGCATAACAAACCTGTAACAATTCGAGGGAGATAATCCGAGCTCAATTTAAACATAGAAGTACAAGAAGAAGAAAAACCGAAATGATATTCACACAGTACAGAGAACGTTTAAAATCATTTGAAATAATTTCAAGTTAAATAAACAAGGAAAAAGAAGATAACACAAACATAAATCCCTCTAAATACAAAAATGAGACATGTTATTTGGAAATGCAATGTTTTCTGTCACCACAAATTGCGCTCGAATTTTTTTCATAACAATATGTATGAATGATATGAAATAACCTTTATACGATGTAGCAGATGTGTCACCACGAAGTAACAATAACATATTGAGAACCAAATAACAATGAACAACGACAAATAAGGTGTTATCATACTTCATCATAACAACCTCAATTGTAGGGATGATGCATGTCCTACTACAAAATATTAGCTTTATAGGTCTAACCTTTCTATCCTGGCACGTCTCGTAAACCAGACAATCAGCTGGGGAAGTTACGGAGCTACATGATAAACATCTAAGCTGACTTGGTCCACCTAGAAACACAGATAATCCATAATGGAAATGTTAGTTGTTGCAATTATAACATTATCATTATTAATATGCATGATCGTACTACAAGTTTTCATATAAACAGTAATAGCCAATTGATAATCTAATTGTAAATGCAGAGGACATGAAAGTGCCGCAAAGAATTGTTTTTCCTAAACGACACATTCGATCTATTGTCATGTCGGTAGATAAATTTCCCATTCATAGTTGAATTTTTTCCAGTTAGGATCGTTTAGAAGGATAAAACTGTTCTCTTGTACCTGCTTGGGTTCTTGCGATGAAATGCAAAAAGTATACATTTTTATTGTACTAAGCCACGTTTTCAGTGACTTCGATATTATATTATGTGATTTATTAAATGGTTAGTCTGCTATAAAATAAAGGGTATCACCAAGTTAGACAATATTGTTACATTATAACTGTAATGCAATATCTGTTTTTTTGCAACAAAAATATGTCCTAGAGATAACATGTTGCGATGTATTTTACCAACAAATACAACTTACGGCCATTTAAGAACGTAATTGTATAAAACCCATTTCATTAAATAGCAATTCGTTCCATATGGTCAAAAGAATACTAACTTCATAACATTGTTAGGGTACAAATAACAAGAAACACCATCCGGGATCGTTCAAACAGCTTAATTACCAAGAGAAATGTTTCTTATGTTTGTCTTGGATGAAATATTTTACACATCTATAGCTAAATTGCTAAATTTACTTGACAGCAGAACGAAATTGCTAAATTCGGCACGTGCAAGGATAAAACGTTCATGTGTTCAAAACAAAAGGTATTCATCCGCGAATGATGTTAAAGCATATGCATGTGTAATTTGTTTAAAGTGCCATGTTGGAAGAGTGACTTTAACTTTGCATGTATTTTCTACGCATAGTTTCTTTTTTTCGTTCTGCGCGAAACTCTTTTTTTTTGTTCTTAGTCCTAACGTGCTAATTAAAATCTGGTTAAAATGTCATATTTTGAGCAAACGACGGAAGGTACACGGGACAAGGGTTTAAAACTATCGAGTAGATACGATACTGTTCATCATTATCGCGGAGATGTACATGAGTCGCGTATAGCTGTAATTAACAACAACCTAGAACATATGTACCGCTTTATCACAACCTAATTCGTAGGTCGTCTCAAAGAGGTCCACACAGCCCGTACTGCTCATAGCTAGTATTCTACAATTCACGCATTGCCAAACCACGTACTCATTTACAGCTGAGTAGACTAGAACAAGCGTAGTAAAATATCTTGCTCAAAGATACAATGCAGTGCCGTGCCGTGACTCGAACGCGCAACTCTTTGGACATGAGTCTGCCGTCCTATACCTGTGGTATGTATCGTATTCGATGTATCTTAAGAAACGGCCTGTGGATAAACACGGTTTCGAATTTAATCTTGCATATTTCTACATCAAGAACATTTGTTATATTTAAGCCTGATTTCCAAGGTTGTCTATTATCTAACAGTAATAGACACATCGCGTACTAAATTTGTTTTTAAAAGACCTTAATCGTGTGTACTTTAGTTATACGGTCATATACATGTAAGTACTGTATGCATATATGAACTGTTAACAAAGTAACTTTACCTGTGACCATTTACCTTACAATTACCAGATAATGGGTAAATATTTCGTATTACTAGAAAACCGTGAAGAGAGCGTGAAACTTTCACACGAAATGTAACAGACAAAGTCAACACCTGTGAGTCCGGTTGTGCTTTGCTAACTGTCAATAGTAAAAAAAAATCTCATCGGCGATCTACTCCAGTCGATTCATTACGTGAATGTACAATGTGAAGTACTGTACCTGACAATACTGCCCCATTATTGATAGTGTTACAGTCAGTTCAATCATTTGTAACGTGCATAGACAAAATATCTGAAGAATAAAATATTCCGATCGGATATATTAAACACGTATACCATGTACCATATTCCCCCTAAAGTCTTCCGGATTGTTTTCATTCCTTAAGATCGATCAAAAGACATTTATCGCGCACATGTATGCACGTTTTCTCCCACAACGGGTTGATCGATCGTTAAGTCGCACAGTTGTGTACACTATGTGCGGAGGATGTGCAGACAGTGTGCACACGATGTATGCACGTTGTACGCACGGTAATTTTAGTGCGGTGCGCGATTCAACAACTGTATTAAATATATATGGAATATAGCGTTAGATATACATACCTGGATTAAGACCACAAAGAGTGTCCTGACAGTGAAGTCCTGTACAACATTTTCCACACAGTGATCTCGATCTTTTACCTGCCGTACCAGATGAGAGTGATTGCATGATCACACAAGCCTGCAAATACAGATTAAATTGAGTATTAACGAAAAGCAATCTGAAATGATGATGAGTAAATAAGAAACATTGTTTTGGGAGGATGATGTATAATAAAGCTGATGAGAGAAATAATAGAAATGAGTTATGCTTAATATAAAATAGTTGTGTATTTATAACATTACTAATTTATTGAAAAGAATGGCTTTGGACATACTTGAAAGAATAACATACATTGTATATGATTGAAATCTGCTTCAATTACATGCATTTCAACATTATTCCGTATGCGACTGTAACGTCCCGAAAGACGTAATTGAGTTCACTCGATTCCCCCTTTTCTGCAGACTAATTTTCCCGTATTGTCCTCATGACAATGCGCGAGAAAATATATGTGTTCATGTTATCCTAGGAAGATATGGGAAGAATACGCTGTGTTTGATACACATTTATATGAAAGAACACACCAATAAGCTGCATACATGATAACTTGATCTTTAGATTAATCCCGTATTCAAGCAGTCAACCCCAAGATTTGAATCTTGTTTAAAGAAAGTTTCTAAGGCATATAAAAGGTGTACAGTTGTAGCTCTGGTTAAATATTATAAAACAATAGGACATCACAATTCCTTGTAATAGTTACTTTAAACCATGCACACCTATTAAGGAAAATAAGGATCTTGCAATTTTAATCTGCAAACACATTTTACTATAAATTATTTAATTTGGCCTTCAAATTAATTAGATTAAATTTATGATTTTTCAACACTTTAACTAGCGAATACTAGTGGTCGCAAATTCTGTGCAGATCTAAACCAGTTACAATTGTACATCCATCAAGTTATAACCCATTCTACGATAGAAAATTAAATATACTGCGTACAAGTGTGTTCATTCAATTCCTTTTTATTTAAATAATATCAAGTTGGATAAATTTTCTTGATTATCCATAGGCTGTAATCTTTGTTTTAAAATGTATTTTTTTTCTCTGATTTTCCACGTATTATATAGGTTCCTTATGGGGTTTCTCTTTCTAAGCAGTAATGAAATTCTGCCCGTAGATACGAAAATAATGCTTTTTGACATTTGCACTTCCGAAGTAATCATTTCTTATACAACTTGTCTTTCATGAAAACAAAAGTTTGTAAGATGGCTTTTGTTATAAATTGTTCTTCTTGTCGGGGCCGCTAAAATAAGTTTATATGTATGTTAGGTATGTAAGTTAATAATTAGTGAAAATTAGGGGATATTTCATTGAAATTCATGTACACTTCTATGATGACATCGTCCGACTCAAACACACATGTATATTGAAAATTTAATTCTAAAAGCCCCCATCCCTCGAAAAAAAGAAATAAACAAACAAATTAAAAAAAACAAAAACAAAATAGTAGAAAAGAAACAAAAGACTTACCGTATTTGACCTACACCCAGCGTTGAACACGACCTCATCTGAATTGGTGACAACCTTTTCCACGAAACAGTGCTTGGGGAAAATAAATCATGACATGTACAACCATTTTTCCGATATCAAATATTCTGAAGACTTCTCAACCAGATTATCACAGACAAAGTAAACATTAGAAAAAAAACGGTATCCATGTTTTCATTAAAACTCAAGACTATCTTTAAGCATTGTCTCGCAAACATCATGAAACAAAATTGATGTTTAGCTCACCTGGCTCGAAGGGATTTTAATTAAACTTGTTCTAGAGTATCTTTGGGTAAAGGGATTTTATTTCTGTATAAACGGAGAATGTGGCCCCCTCTTGCGACAAAAAAGCGGGACCAAATAGGGTAAACAGGTAAATCTTTAACCTCAACCAATAAAAGGATTTTGACCAATTTTTTTAAAGGACATCTTTGGACAAAGGAGGCTGAATTTTGTTTAAACATAAGGTGTGGTTTACCTGGGGGCAGAGGCGGGAAATAGAGCAAAGCAATTCCCCTTTTGTAAAAAATAAGGGATTTAAAAGATGAGGTCTGAGGAATGCCTAGGTTAAAAATACTCAAGCTGTACAGATCGAGGCTGTAGCTTTCCCCTTAGGGGCAAAGGGGTGCACATGAGGCTCAATAAGGAAATAGGGGAAAATTAAAAATCTCCCTGCATTTTTTTTTAAAGGGACATCACGGTGAAGTAACTTTTTTTTGTGTCTTTTTTTCAAATTCTACATAAACATATCAAGTGAGACTCTTTATGGAAAATAACGATCGGATTTGGCTGAAATAGATTCATAAAAATGATTAAATCTAAGAAAATCATCGGTATTTCTACCTGTCTGACCAACGTTTTGTTCGGGGATTTCCCTCTACTAGCGCATGCGCATAGAACACCATTTCTTTGTAAACAAAATGACTGGCCCTATGAAGTAAGCGAAAGCAAAGTGTTGTACCGTGTCAGCTACGAAACGAAAAGGTGCCAAATGATCAAAAGATAGCGCAAGGAGTACATTACGGAATCATTATTGCAAGTGGGCAGTATTCAAAGGAGAAAATAACTGCCGTGGCAGTTAGTACGGTGCATGTATTCTTCCGGATAGCCGGTTAAGCTGAAATGGAATAGACAGAAATACTAGCGCTGTTTATGTTATGACTAAATATCTAAAACTATTAAGCTCGCTAGTATCTTTGTCTGAGTTTGAACACAGATGGACTTAGTTTAAGATGTTAATAGGCATGTATTGGAGAGAGTTTACTTTGTGTTTCTATAATTATACAGTGGTTTATGCGAAAGGAAGGAATAAGTGACTGGTTAGTTTGATTTTTGCATGAGGCCCTCCAAGGGATAACTGTTGTGATGGCCCACGGCGTATTTTCTAGGTCACCGAGATACGTGTTATCTAAGTCCGTGGATTTGCATAATTTATAATATTACCGGGTTCAATAAAATGGTATGATTTAATTATATTGCTGAATTAAACGATTATTTTTGTTTTTACATGCAAGATTTAAATTAGTACTAATCTGAATCCCCAGCCTCCTCTGCCCCGGCAATATATCAAAAAAAATCAGAAAGGTTTGTCCCTTGGTGTAGGGAAGGTGTTTAGCCCCGTACCATATGTACCGGCCACATTCCGGTTCTAAATTCAATATATATTTAAACATATCTACTTTATGTTTATGCCTATTATCATTGTTGACATTTAATTGTAAATGTATGACGGGAGAAGGCTGTGATCAATTGTAAAAACTTGTGCCCCATCCCTTGTTTAATTTTTTTGGCAACAAATTTATGTTTAAAGCTAAATGAATTTAAATTCTGAATATTTGCAAGTGTGCAATTAACTTCTAATGATGAATAATTACTGTTCAATAAGTTTGAATACGGACTTAGAAATCATATAACTTGGTTTCATAGTGCGGTAAGAAGTTGCAGTTGCCTGACGGCCCCTCTCTGGGGGCCCTTTTGGAAACCGTTTCATCTCGCTCGCACCACTTGTGTTTACTGCCAAGTCAGGTGACGTTATCGGCGCTTTTTTTAGCAGGGCTTTCCTGAACAATTCAAGTGGTCAAACTTGACATTTGGAACGGACTATGAATATGGGAATAGCGAGGTAGCATAAGTGGAAGTGCATACAATACATACATTCATTAAAAAAAGCCTTTTCACGTGATGTCCCTTTAATGAAGGGATTTTAACCATTTTAGTGCATCTTTAGGAAAAGAGGATTGTGTATTAAGTTTTGAACGGCGTACTCCTTTGATAAACCTGTGTAAAATATCTGTTGAGCTATAAAGGCCCATGGGCCTCTTGTATGAACTTTAATGTGATAAACGATTCAGTTTCATTCAAAAATATCTACAGTCTGTATGCTTGAACCGTTTGACGAAAAAGACATTCATTTTACATAACACAAGTGACCTCATCATTTCGTATTGATACACTACAATGACGTAGCATAGGGCGTGCTTGGTTCACAAGCATCTATGTAGATTTGATATTCTAAAATGAACTAATATTAAACATGATTGGATTTATTTTAAAGCTACACTTAAGTTTATAAAGTCCATAAAGTATATGATAATTATATATTTGACTTCTAAAAACTCTACAACTAAATTTTGAAAATGGAACTATATTTTGTTGGTTTTGTTGTTATGCTGTTGCTAGGACCAAAGCGAATGTTTTACATTTCCCAATGAACATACTCTGTTGTTCTCTCTACTCAAATATTTGTCATCGCTAATTATGCATAGACAAAAATTACCGGTTTCTATTTCGTATGCTGGCCTCGCAAAATTCAAAGCAATTAAAATGTAGATATTAGGATTGGAATCTTTTATGGAACATTCATGAGGTCATAACACGATTTATTACATATGTCATGAAAACATAGGTTGTTATGACCTCATGATTGGTCCTTAAATAAAACGCACTGAATATCGTTTCATACCGACATAAGGAAAATAATTAAAATGTCTTTGATGTTATCTACATGAACATTATCTGTGTTCAGTCTATGCCGTATACCTCGTTAGCAGGACAGGTCACTGTGTTGTTCCGACAAACTGCTAAATTCCCTTCATTACTGCATTGCCAACATCTTTGATTGCACGTCACTGCCAATCAATTAAAAAATTACCTTATAATCTAATATTATCTTTGACGGAATATAGGGTTCATGCATGAACACAATTACTATTTTGAATGGGAACAATGCATATTCATATGTTAATTAATAATAATAATAATTTGAAGTTCTTATATACCGATTTATCACAACCTAGTTCGTAGGTTGTCTCAAAGCGGTTCTCAAATTATTAACCGTGGTTACAGGGCCTTTGCAACCAGCCAATATCGTGTTCAGCTACCCAGGGAGCATACATTCGGAGCTGCCATTTCGGCGCTCACCGCTAGCATCTTTAATTTTAGCATTGTCAAACCACGTACTCATTTACAGCTGAGTAGACCGGAACAAACGGAGAAAAGTATCTTGCTCAAAGATGCAATACAGTGCTGTGCCGTGAGTCGAACTCGCAACCTTTCGGTCACGAGCCCGGCGTCCTACCACTAGACTACCGTACCTCCCCAATAGAAACAATAACAGTATGCCAACTTTTACCGGTTCATATAGTAAGTCGACAATACCATAGTATTTGCGTTTCAGATGTGTACTTTACTACCAGTATTTGGTCAGTTATTCCCAAACTAAAGTCATAGGCACACATACATAAATGCATTCCCGCATAACACACATGGAGGCGTGTCCGTAAATGACCTAAGCTGTTAATAGGACGTTTGACAAAAATAACCAACCAAACCATACAACACAACATTTGTTTTTGCTACCCTATGAAGCAAGCGACATATTTTGGTAGCGACGTGTTAACAAGATAAACAAAAATTACTTATGTTACCAAGACAATGTGATTGCTATCAACATAAGAACATGGCAATATCAATGTGACCGTCATATCGACAAAGCGATATAACCATTACTGCTAAGGCAACAAAAACTATTATTGTTATACCGTCATGGCAACGAGGCAATACTATTGTTACCGTTATGACAACAAGGCAATAGTACTGTTACCGTCATGGCAATGGTTTTGTTGACATCATTGCATTTGTTTAAATTGTTGTGTTAGTGTGACAAAGATATTGTTAAGACTGCATACTTATACAATAGTGAATAAGCGTATGCAAATAAGATAGCATTTATTAATACTTACCGAGTGTTACAACAGACAGCAAAATGACAACTTTTTGTCGGAATCAAAAAATGTATATCTCAGGAACTGATAAGAAAATGGTTCTGTATCGTTGGAAATTATTTGATTCCTATAACATAACGATTGAAACACTGTGCTTAAGTTGTATCTCGACCGCTGATATTTGATGCAATATAACCCGTATAAATCGGCCCCGGAATACTCAGAATCCCTGGCTGTATCGGCTTTGATATTAGGTTCCGATGTCTAGAAATGCGTGTCTTTTCATCCCTGTTTACTAGAAACCAAGAGTTGCGTACTTAACTTATCATGTAAATCATTCCTAATAAACACTTTTCATACCAGCTGTTCAATTTCTCTAGAACTGCCACAATAGTTGCGTAAACGTTAAAAAAGTAATCGTTATCTGCATAGGAGTCACACTATCAACTGGATCTAAATACATTACACGCTTGCATCTTGCACACAGGGGAGACCGTCATTAAATGACCATAGCTGTTTATAGGTCGTTTAACAATACTGAACCAAACCAAACCAAACTTAACAAGGCTTGGTTTTATACACAAAGTACTAACAAACGTTTCTTGTTACACAACCATTAAGTGTTTCAATGTGACGTTCCGATGACTAGTATGGTATGTACTCTGACACATTAATAAGACAAATGACCAGTGAAGTGTATGCACACAAAGGTGTAAAATTTGTACGAGTTGTCCAAAAAATCGATGTCGATTCAGATACGCTGAAAGAGTATGTAAAATAGTTGTTTTATATGTACCGAAATGACTCGAAATAGCTACGCTTTGTTTAATACTTCGTCATAGATGTGCGAGAGTCTATGAGCACCCTCATCTAGATTTAAAACTGGGCCAATGCGGCGTATCCAGATGGCTTCTTTTATCTGCCGCTTGAGCATATTGCTCTCTTTGTCCAATAATTTGGAGTTTTTCCATTCAATCATATGATTTTTCTGTGTGGCATGGTCTGTGATTGCTTATCTATTTATCTTGGACTCGTTCAACCAGCCAATATCTTTCTGAACTCCCTGGGGAGCACACAGCCCGTATTGCTCACAGCTAGTATTCTACAATTCAAGCATTGCCAAACCATGTACTCATTTACAACTGAGTAGACTAGAACAAGCGCAGTAAAGTATCTTACTCAAAGATAAAACACAGTTCCGTGCCGTGACTCTAACGCGCAGCTCTTCGGTCACGAGCCCGGCGTTCTACCATTAGACAACCGCGCCTCCTTAATGTAAACTTTTGGAAAAAATGAAAATGAAAATGAAAAATAATGTGCGATTAAAGCACGTGCACAACCACATTTGTGCGATAACTATAACACAATTTTGTGGTATGTATCTTATTTGATGTATCTTAAGAAACGGCCTGTGGATAAATACTGTTTCGTATTAAATCTTGTAATTCTGCATCTAGAAACTTTGCTATAATTAAGCCTGATTTTTATGGTTGTCTATTTTCTAACAGTAATAGACAAATTGCGTACTCAAATTGCTTTTAAACGACCTTAATCTTGTCTACTGTAGCTATACGGTCATATACATGTAAGTACTGTATGCATCACAAAACTGTTAACAAAGTAACTTTACCTGTGACCAGTTACCTATTAATTACCAGATAATGGGTAAATGTTTTGTATTACTAGAAAACCGTGAAGGGAGCATGAAACTTTCACACGAAATGTAACAGACAAAGTCAACACCTGTGAGTCTGGTTGTGCTTTGCTTACTGTCAATAGTCAAAAACTCTCATCGGCGATCTACTCCAGTCGATTCATTACGTGAATGTACAATGTGAAGACCTGTACCTGACAATACTGCCCCATTATTGATAGTGTTACAGTCAGTTCAATCATTTGTAACGTGCATAGACAAAATATCTGAAGAATAAAATATTCCGGTCGGATATATTAAACACGTATACCATGTACCATATTCCCCCTAAAGTCTTCCGGATTGTTTTCATTCCTTAAGATCGATCAACCGATCCTCCTTTATCGCGCACATGTATGCACGTTTTCTCCCACAACGGGTTGATCGATCGTTAAGTCGCACAGTTGTGTACACTATGTGCGGAGGATGTGCAGACAGTGTGCACACGATGTATGCACGTTGTACGCACGGTAATTTTAGTGCGGTGCGCGATTCAACAACTGTATTTAATAGATATTGAATATAGCGTTAGATATACATACATGTACTTGGCGTAAGACCACAAAGAGTGTCCTGGCAGTGAGGTCCTGTACAACATTGTCCACACAGTGCTGTCGATCTTTTACCAATCACAGCAGCTGAGAGCGAATACATGAGCAGGCAAGCCTGCAAATACAGATTAAATTGCGTATTAACGAAAAACAATCTGAAATGAATATATAGATGATAAGGAAACAAGAAAAAAAAATGGGAGGATGATGTATAATAAAGCTGATGAAAGAAATAACAGAAATGAGTTATGCTTAAAATAAAATAGTTGTGTATTTATAACATTCTTAATTTATTGAAAGGAATGGCTTGGTACATACTTGAAATAATGACATATATTGTATATGATTGAAATCTCCTCAATTACATGCATTTCAACATTATTCCATATGCGACTGTAATTTCCCGAAAGACGTAATTGAGTTCATTCGATTTCCCTTTTTCTGTAGACTAATTTACCCGTATCGTCCTAATGACAATGCGCGAGAAAATATATGTGTTCATGTTATCCTAGGAAGATATGGGAAGAGTACACTGTGTTTGATACAAGTTTATATGAAAGAACACACTAATAAGCTGCATACATGATAACTGGATCCTTACATTAATATCGTATTCTAGCAGCCAGCCCCAAAATTTGAATCTTGTTTAAAGAAAGTTTCTAAGGCATATAAAAGATAAACAGTTGTAGCTCTTGTTAAATATTATAAAACAATAGGACATCACAATTCCTTGTAATAGTTACTTTAAACCATGCACACCTATTACGGAAAATAAGGATCTTGAAATTTTAATCTGCAAACACATTTTACTCTAAATTATTTAATCTGGCCTCTGACGTTTAGACTTTCAAATTATTTAGAATACATTTGTGAATTTCAACACTTTAACTAGCGAATACTACTGGTCGCAAATTCTGTGCATATCTAAACCAGTTACAATTGTACATCAATCAAGTTATAACCCATTCTACGATAGAAAATTAAATATACTGCGTACAAGTGTGTTCATGCAATTTCTTTTTTTTTAAATATTATCCAGTTGGGTACATTTTCCTCGATTATACATAGGCGGTAATCTTTTTAAAAATGTACATTGTTCACAGAATTTCCATGTTTCATATAGGTTTCATTGTCGGTAATACATATTTAATATGAGACTTCTATATCTTGTTATAAAATGTTCTACGTGTCTGTAGCCGCTAAAAATATTTGTATATGTATGTTATATATGTATGTAACCCGGGTTTATATAATATGATATATATATATATATATAATCTGTCACCTTTGGAACGCCAGGCACTCAAATCCCTGAAAAAAAATTCGGACATTGTCATCAAGCCAGCGGACAAAGGCTGTGCAGTTGTTACAATGAACAGGGACGACTACATCCAAGAGGCTAATCGGCAACTCTCCAACGAGACATGTTATCGGAAGGTCGATAATGACCTGACGCACGTACACGCACAGCAGATTAATAATACCATCAATAGAATTTTAGAGAAGGGTGATATCGACAACGATACCGCGAAATTCCTGTGCCCCGAAAATCCTCAAGCAGGAAAGTTGTATCTTCTACCTAAAATTCACAAACCTGGGAACCCTGGTAGACCCATCATTAACTCGATCAACCACCCGACGGAGAAAAATTCCCAGTTTGTTGACTTCCACCTCCGACCATTCGTAGAACATTTACCATCTTTTTTAAAAGACACCACAGACTATCTGAACAAAACACCTGCTAAGAACTTACCAGAAGGTACCTAGTTATTTACGATGGACGTCGTTTCCCTCTACACTAACATACCGCGTGACGGCGGCATTGCAGCCTGTCGCGAGGCATGGGAACGGCGCAGTACCAAACACTCATCGACTGATAGCCTGGTGGATTTACTGAGACTTGTCCCCACACTTTACAACTTTATGCGTTCCACGCCACCATCAAATTCACAGCGGATATCTCAACGGAGAGCAACACATTTTTTGGACACCAGTTCCACTCTGCTTGACAGTTAGATTAGTACGGACTCCACTGTAAACCTACTGACACACACCAGTATCTCCTCCCATCCAGTTGTCACCCCTCGCACACCACGAGAAGCATACCCTACTCCCAAGCTCTGCGCATCAGGCGTATTATTTCGGATGACATCATCTTTGAAAGTAGATGTTAAGAGTTAAAGTCCCATCTTCTTGGCAGAGGATACAAATCTACTTTGATAGATCGGGAAATAGACAAAGTGAGGGTACTGGACAGGGCAAGTCTGCTTGTATACAAAGTCAGACCCCATACACAAAGGGTACCTTGTGTAGTCATGTTCCACCCAGACATGCCGCCACTTCCATCTATCTTGAAAAAGCACTGGCGCATCATCGAATCTTCAGCGAAACTTAGGCAGATCTTTCCAGAGTCTCCTATACTGGCATATCGTAGACCTAAACACATTAGAGATCTTGTGGTAAGCAGCAAGCTACCTACACCTAACCCTGCTGCGGCGAAAGGCTCTTTCAATACCTGTAACAAGAAGGTGTGTAAACTGTGTCCATACACGCGCTCCACAGATACATTTCAATGTACAATCAACGGCAAAGTGTATCACATACTACAAACGCTGACATGCACATCAGTCAATGTGGTGTACCTTATTACCTGCAATAAATGCAAGTTACAGTACGTGGGCGAGACCTGCACCCAGCTAAATGTCAGGATCAACAACCACCGCTGCTCCATCAAGCAGAACAAACCAGACTTCCCTGTGGCAAGGCATTTTAATATGCCTAGCCATAGTTGAAAAGACATGCAGGTTGTTGCGATTGATCATTGCCCTACATGGGATGAAACGAGACGACGTACGAGAGAACGGTTTTGAATCACCAATCTACAAACCCGCTACCCTCGAGGTATGAACGAACGATAGGCGGTTGCCATCCGCTCGTTTTCCTTCCAGGGGGCATTTGACCTAATGATTCATTACTGCACAGTTGGTCTGCTATCTCGCCTGCCTGCTGCTTCATGTCAGTGTGTGTGACCAACAGCCTTTGTCAGATTTATTTTGCAGATTTAAACAGTATCTTAGCCATTTTATCTACTTATTCCTCCTGCACTCACTTATTTGATAATTACATGCATTATTCCTGCAAACCAAAAGAGGCGACTAAGTAGGACCCCCTGCTGTGACTTAGATCCATTGCAGTATTGAGAGGCGACTAATGAGACATTCCGTAGCAGATTCGAGATTTTTCACATTTACCGGGCCAGATTTCCAAATGCACATGTTCCACGTTTTTGATATCTCTCCCGCGATGTTCTCAGCGTATTTGCTGCTTTCGGCTGTCTTTAGCCGAGGGGACTATTGGTTTTATATAATAGCTATATTTTCAGTTATAGTATATTAATTCTATCTTCTTGTAATATGATGTATATGTACATGTAACTGTTCTGTTTCACTGTGTCTTGAAAAAGGAGCGGATCGCTCCGAAAATTTGACAACCTAAACTTGTCCGCACTGTTGGAATTACTTCTTTGCCCCATATTTTTATATATATATATATATATATGGTGTGTGTATATATATATAACGAGTGCTGGCAACTATCTGCATGTACGTGTGTTGTCCCGTCTGCTACACAGTGTATGTGACGTCATCAGTTCGGAATGCATGTACCTGTGTTGTTATGTTCTGTTTCAACATTTTGAGTGAATTGTACTTACGACGTAGACCTTGGACCTGCCCCTTGAACGAATAAAGCACCCTATATTCCCGCCACTTTATTCTGGCTACTGGGTAAATACTTACTGCCCAGTGGTCATTCTTACAATCCGACTCGTGAGAGACGGATCTGTACTCCAGATTACTGATAGAACCATTGATATATTGACTATATAGAGGGCGTGAAGATGCATTGCCGCCATCAAGTATTAGCAGGCTTAATCGTACCATTTAGTTATTTGAATTAATATAGTTATAGCGGTTTGTATTCAGAGGGCCGGTACCTCGGTCGGCGCGGAAGTTGTGTAGTATTTAGTGTATGTATATGAGAGAGTGAATGTATTTATTGTATTGTCCTGTATTGTAGGTTTCTCGGAGATAGTATAGAAAGAGATATACATGAAACAACTTGTCCGAGTTGTGATATTAAACTGAGCAACCGGTGACATGTAAGTGAATAATGAGAGAAAATTAAGGAATATTTGCGACAGGTAAAATGCATTTACAATTTATTTAGGAAATTACATGTACATATATAATTCATTGAATTCATGTACACTTCTATGATGACATCCTCCGACCAAAACACACATCTATATTGAAAAATAATTCTTAAATCCCCCTAATAAGAAACAAACAAACACATTTTTTTTAAAAACGACAAAAACACAAAAAAGAAGAAAGGAAACAAAAGACTTACCGTATTTGACCTACACCCAGCGTTGAACACCTCATCTAAATTGGTGACAACCTTTTCCACGAAACAGTGCTTGGGGAAAATAAAGCAGGACATGTACAACCATTTTTCCGATATCAAATATTCTGAATATTACTCAACCAGATTATCACAGACAAAGGAGACATCAGAAGAAAAGCCGATATCCATGTTTTCATTAAGACTCAAGACTATCTTTTAAGCATTGTTTCACAAACATCATGAAACAAAACTGATTTTAAGCTCACCTGGCCCGAAGGGATTTTAACTAAACTTGTTCTAGAGTATCTTTTGGTAAAAGGATTTTATTTTTGTAATACCGGATAATGTGGCCCCCACTTGCGACAGAAATGCCCGACCAAATAGGGAGAAACAGGTAAATCTTAAAAACAAATCTTCTTCTCCTCAACCAATAAAAGGATTTTGACCAAATTTATTAAAGAGCATCTTTGGACAAAGGAGGCTGAATTTTGTTTAAACAAAAGGTGTGGTCTACCTTGGGGCAGATGAGGAGAAATAGAGCAAACCAATTCCCCTTGTGTAAAAATGAAGGGATTTAAACGATGAGGTCTGAAGAATGCGTAGGTTAATAAAACTCAATTTGTACAGATCGAGGCTGTAGCTTTCCCTTTTGAGGCAAAGGGGTGCACATAATGCCCAAAAAGGAAATAGGGGAAAATTAAAGATCTTCCTGCATATTTTATTAATGAAGGGATTTTAACCAAACTTGTTTGAGTGCATCTTTAGGAAAAGGGGATTTTGTATTAAGTTTTGAACCGCGTACTCCTTTGATAAACCTGTATGGTACCCAGCAGGTTTTTAATTTAATTAAAATACCGTTCGAGCTATTAAGGCCCATGGGCCTCTTGTATGAAATCTAATGTGATAAACGATTCAGTTTCCTTCAAACTATCTACAGTCTGTATGCTTGAACCCATTGACGAAAGAGACATTCATTTGATATAACACAAGTGACCCCATCACTTCGTATTAAACACTACAATGACGAAGCTTAGTGCATGCTTGGTTCACAACCATCTATGTAGATTTGCTTTTCTAAAATGAATTAATATTAAACATGATTGAACTGATTTTAAAGCTACACTTAAGTTTATAAAATGCATAAAGTATATGATAATTATATATTGGCTCCATAAAACTCTACAAACTAAATTTTGAAAAAGAACTATATTTTGTTGGTTTTGTTGTTATGCTGTTGCTAGGACCCCAGCGAAAGTTTTACATTCCCCAATGAATATACTCTGTTGATTCTCTACTGAAATATCTGCCATCGCTATTTATGAATAGACAAAAATTACCGGTTTCTGTTTACTTATGCTGGCATCACAAAATTCAAAGCAATTAAAAATGTAGATAATAGGATTGGAATCTTTTATTGAACATTCATGAGGTCATCACACGATTTATTACATATGTTATGAAAACAAATGTTGTTATGACCTCATGATTGGTCCTTAAATAAAACGCACTGAGTATCGTTTCATACCGACATAAGGAATACATATGTCTTTGATGTTATCTACATAAACATTATCTGTGTTCAGTCTATGCCGTATACCTCGCTAGCAGGACAGGTCACTGTGTTGTTCCGACAAACTGCTAAATTCCCTTCATTACTGCACTGCCAACATCTTTGATGGCACTTTACTGCCAATCAATTAAAAAATAACTTATAATCCAATATTATCATTCAAGGAATATAATATGCACGCATGAACACTAGTACCATTCTGTATGGGAACAATGCATATTCATTTAAGCATTGAACTGTTTTTGTATGGTATTTATGATCTATTTGAATGACACAGCTTTGCAAGCAAACAGCATAATGCCCGCTAGCGCATTATGAATCGTTTGCTTGCAAAGCTGTGTCATTCAAATATATCATAAATACCATACAAAAACAGTTCAATACTTATATTAATGTTTTCTCTGCCTCTGATGTTCTTTTTTAACTTATAATTTATATTAAAAATTACAAATCCCGCCTTAATAATAGTCCACACAATTTCGTTCAAAAGTTTGAACAGCGTATTGTCGCGTGCTGATTGGCAAACACTTCAATTTTTTTCCACAATTCAGTATCAATACAATTGCGTATGATATGTATATAGAGTGTTTTAAGTTTATCAATAGAACTCTGAGCTGAAAGTTAGATTTTAAATTGTTTCAATTCTCCCCCGGAACAAATTTCGCGCATGGACAAATACAGTGAACACCGTAAATCCGACCTCGCCCTCCACGAGGGAGTTACTTTTGGAAGTTTATTCGAACTTTTCTCTTAGCTCATTTTATGAAGAATCCAGGCGTGAATATATTTTTTGATTGTATGGTGACCTGACAACAGCCGGTATATTCTATAACAGCCTCGTTATTTGACCTGTCGAGCGTTCGCCCCTGTGAGGAAGGCTTAGGGTTCTGTCCCCTGGCCGAGACATACCAAAGTCTTTAAAAATGGTAGTTTATACTCCTGCTTAACGCTCAGCAAATTAGGAGTAGGACGACTGGTTCGCCCGTTGTCAGTATAATGTGACCGGGTGGGGCGTCCTGCTGGGTGTCTTCGGCAGTATGTTTCTGTGAGGTAGCACTATAAAGTCGGCATCAGCTTCGCGCTATCACAAGGAGACAAACACGAACATATCGCAGCCTCCCAAAATACACACACATACACTACACGCATGCAGCTTGCACACAGGGGAGGCCGTCCTTAAATGGCCTTAGCTGTTAATAGGACGTTAAACAAAATCAAACAAACAAAACAAACAAACAAAAATTTGACCTGTCGTCAGAATTAAACTGAGGAACCGTAGATGCGAGACGCGTGAAACTGATAGCGTTTGAAGCGGGTGATCTTGCGACGGAGCACAGGTTCGTTACGAATGTCTGAAATGTTTATGTGTGCTGTGACTCATATCAGTAATATCATATCATATCTATAACATTTGTGTCAGTAGGTCTATAGAATATGTGTATTTCAGACATTTGTAACGAACCCCTGTCGACCAGTGCAGTGTAACAGACGATATTTCGGATAAATTGCATGAGCGTTAAAATTGTTTCCATTGCCGGCATTGGTGATTTCAACCGATGTGCATTTTATACGATATTGAAGACCTTGGTCATGTTTTCGTTGTAATAAAAGTGTTTTTTTATTTCATTTTTTATTTTGCACATAAATTTACAATGACGTTGTCAAATCTCACAATGCCCAGCGATATTTCAGCAGCCGGCATGTTTATTTATATTGGATATTGTAGTTCCGGTCAAAGTTTTATTAATACGCTAAGAATTGTGTCTCGTGATGCATGGTAATTAAAGTCCCATCAACGACACAGCTTTCAAAGAGGCTATATAGTGACAATGCCATGCAAATGTAAATATATGACGATTAATATCATTAAAATAAAAGTCAATTATTAATAATAATAATTTGAGGTTCTTATATAACGATTTAACACAACCTAGTTCATAGGTTTTCTCGAAGCGGTTCTCAAATTATTCGGTCACGAGCCCGGCGTCCTACCACTAGACTACCGTACCTCCCCAATATAAACAATAACAGATATGCTAACTTTTACCGGTTCATAGGTCGACAATAACATACTTTTTGCGTTTAAGATGGGTACTTTACTACCAGTATTTGGTCAGTTATTATGGTAGCGACGTGCTAACAAGATAAACAAAACTTACTTATGTTACCAAGACATGGCAATATTACTGTTACCGTCATATCAATAAGGCAATATTACCGTTACTGCTATGGCAACAAACACTATTATTGTTATACCGTCATGGCAACGAGACAATATTATCGTTACCGTCATGACAGCGAGGCAATACTACTGTTACCGCCATGGCAATGGTTCTGTTGACATCATTGCATTTGTTTAAATTGTTGTGTTAATAATATGACAAAGATATTTTTAAGACTGCATAATTTTACAATAGTGAATAAGCAAGTAAGATAGCATTAATAAATACTTACCGAGTGTAACAACGGACAGCAAAATGACAACTTCTGTCGGAATCAAAAACAATTACATCTCAGGAACTGGTAATAAAATGGTTCTGTCTCGTTGGCAATTATTTAATTCTTATAACATAACGATTGATACACTGTGCTTTTGTTGAAGCTAGTCCACTGATATTTGATTCAATATAACCCGTATAAACTGGGCCCTGCATACCTGTCTTTCCATCCGTGTATACTAGAAACCAATCGTTGCGTACTTACCTTATCTTGTAAATCATTCCTAATAAACACCGATCATAGCAGCTGTTCAATTTCCCTCGAACTGCCACAATATTTGCGTAAACGTTCAATAAGTAATCGTTATCTGCATTGGAATCACACTATCAACTGGATCTACATGCATCTTGCACACAGGGGAGACCGTCCTTAAATGACCATAGATGTTAAAAGAATGTTTAACAATACTAAACCAAACCAAACCAAACTTAATAAGGTTTGGCTTTATGCATAAACAAAGTACTATCAAACGTGTCGCAACGTTTTAAGACCGACTGATCCTTTTTTCCTGTTTATGACTTAGTGAGCGTAGTGTTTATTTGTGTAACGAAAGGACCACATTGACATTTTTTTCTGATTGTCATTAAGCTAATATTTTCTCTGATCAGTTTGCAAAACTTGAAAATGTACTGCAATTGTAATACGATTCCATCATTAATCCTTGTAATATACCTCAACGTTTTTGTATGCGAATTTGAATTTTATTTCAACCTTTTTGCCCTTTCTCAAATTTAACCGTCAGCTTCGACGATGATACTTTTTTATTTAACTAGGTATTGGGTTTCCTGTACTTATAAAACGGATTACGACTCGGTTATATCAATAAATTATTGATATGAAATACTGTATGATTAGGTGATAAAATAACCACATCCTTTTTTCTAAGATTTAGCAAAGATATCTTAGTTAGGGAAATCAGTTCGGTGCAATATTCAAAGATGACTTCTCTAAATATTGAAACGAAATGAGTTATGTACAGATAAATTTTAAGTGTTTTTGTTTAAGTATACACGTAACAACAAAAATCCAATAAATCGACAGATAAAAAAAATCACGAAAAGACAAATATTGCCAAGAAAGTTCATTTCCTTATCAAATTGTAAAAATATTGTCATTTGATATAAACTTGACAGAATTGATTTTTTAAACTTTACAGAGTCTTATTAAAGAAAAATCACAGAAAGAAACTCTGAATTAATAAATTCGGTGTGTACTAAATGTTACGAATATTTGATTAAAATGCAATATGTTACAAATCCTCAATACAATAAAAAGCCTATTAATTTCACATTTTAGTACGAAAGTTCCATATGGTGGAAACGCTAACTTTGTCAGGCCTTCTGCACCAAACACCTTAATTTCGAACTTGCTCCGTTTTCTTGTTATTTTGAACCTCGATAATTGAATGCTCTGATAGTTCAAAATTTGAAACCTGAAGAAATGTTAATGAAAAATAAGAAGACTTGACTTACCCCGCAGCATCGTTCTTGAGTTTTGAATACGTGTCTGAAATCTACTTCGTGATTTAACAAACAAAGATAACAGGAAAGTTCAATGCAAGTATAACCTTTTTTGAAATATAGATAAGATATACGACCGCAGAGTATGTTATTGTACAGGTTCGGGCCCACATAATTATGTATGTTTTTGGGACTTATAGAGTCTATCATATGTAGCTATTGGTACTATTAGTCTAATATATGTAGGTATGGATACAAACAGTTCATTTTGTTTTTTTAAAATAAACAACTTTAAATGCAATAACAAATAAAAAATAAAATTTCGTATTCAAACGAGTAACCAAATTTTCATATTTGTATGCTTTAAGCGATATACAAATTATCATGTTGCTTATAAAGTTGCTGCTGAAATATTATACGGTTACTACCAATATTGCAGGACTTTCCAAGTTATATGCAGAACACCTAACCAAAACGCCTTTTCTTTGATTGTCCCTTTTTCGTCTACAGAGGTGTTCACTTACTTAGTTTCATCAAGCACTGAAATGTTATATTCATACACAATTGAATTTAACACCTAATTATTTCTAAGAGGTAATAAGAAAATAAGCAAAATGCTTCCCGTATTTGACCTACACCTAGCGTTGTACTGAACCTTATATATATTGATTATGATATGTTTCTTGTTGCACAACCAATAAGTGTTTCTATGTGACGTTTCGATGACTAGTACGGTGTGTACTCTGTCACATTCATTAGACAAATGACCAATGAAGTGTATGCACACAAAGGTGTAAAATGTGTACGAGTTGTCAAAAAAAATCGATGTCGATTCGGATACGCTGAAAGTGTATGTAAAAAGTTTGTTATATATGTACCGAAATGACTCGAAATAGCTACGCTGTGTTTAATACTTCGTCATAGATGTGCGAGAGTCTATGAGCCCCCTCATCTAGATTTAAAACTGACCCAATGCGGCGTATCCAGATGGCCACTTTTATCTGCCACTTGAGCAGACTGCTCTCTTTGTCCAATAATTTGGAGTTTTTCCATTCAATCATATGATTGTTCTATGTGGCATTGTCTGTGATTACCTATCTATTTATCTTGGGCTCGTCTGTTTCCTTTCTGACCTTGTGAATATTTCCGGTGTTTACCAAGGCGGACCCCAATTCGCCTTCCAATCTCTCCAATATAAGATTCGTCGCAGTTTTTGCATCCGACATTTTAGTTAGGTGTCACCGATAAATAAATCGGTAAACACATACCATGCCAACAGATAACAGAGATTAACAAAACAGATGTGTATGGTTAGTAAATAATATTTGATGATGTATTATTGCATTATCAGTATGAATCTAGAAATCTCAATACCAAGGTCATGACAACAACACAACATTTACAATTACTGACAATTTGATTAATATCGCCATAGCAACATGGCAATATCACTGTTACCGTCATAAAAACAAGGCAATAACGTAATGAACATTATGGCAACAATATTTTTGTATTATAACCATCATGTTTGCAAGACATTATCGTTGTTATCGTAATGGCAAAAACCAATAGTATTGTTACTGTTATGGTAACAAGCAATATTATTGTTACCGTCATGGCAACAAGCACTGTTATTCAATTGTTACTGTAAAGCAACAAGCAATATTGCTAATGACTGGTACTAATTCCCAGCCCTGATTGGAAAAGCAACGTCATGTGACGAGTCTGTAAATTTGTTACATACCTCGTTCTATGAATAGAAAAGTGTTACAGACCGCTACTAAAAATAAGCATAGGCTATTTCCCAGCCATCGATTAACAGCCAATCAAAACACGTCGCATGACGAAATGTTGACATGAGACCAGTCAGCAATATGGCAGACGGCGTACACTTCGCATCTTTTGCCCAGGAAGAAATCGACAGAATTCTTTTTGACAAAGACACAAGAAATACAAAGAAACCAACGTAAGTTGCGGTACGTCTGTTCCGTTCGTATTTAAAGCATAAGAACGATATTAAATCACTTGAAAGCTATGATAAACAGGAAATGTAGAGTTTTTTTAAGTAATAAAGCCTTACTTCTATTTGACACGGGTTTAATAGGTATTTATCGGCAACCTCCGGGCTTGATACGTGAATGACAAAGATTTTAAAGAGAGTATTGTTATGTTCAAAGCTATGTCCAAGAACCTTAAGCGAACTGGTGAAGGGTCTGTTAAACAATGTCTCCCTATTGAAAGTCCAGCAATGGACTATGCAAAGTTTTAGGAAATACAATTAACTGATTAAGTGAATAAGATATGATTTTTACATTCCGGGCATCAGCGCATCTACTCCCCTCCGCCTCTCGTTAACTTACACCATTACTTTTCCCGAATGTAAACTGTACCACTCTTACGATATACCACACATTTATGAGTCAACGCCCATTTGTACGTAAAACATAAGAATGGTCCACAAAATAAATGTACCAATGTATGTTCGTGTGTGTGTGTATGTGATTGTGTTTAAATTCATTATCATAATTATCAAAATGTATCACCCTTCAGCTGGCTTTTTATTTCATACAGTAGCCGGACGTTCTTGATAGCAGGGTATACGCTGATATATAAATATGTATATCCCGATTTTCGCAACTTATATATCGCCTTTTTCATTGTGAAACAGTTCGTTGTTATGTTCACCACGTTACATTGCCGTCTGTTTTGATAACACCAGATTTTGGTTGACAAATGGAGGAAGAAAAGCGAGACTCCTTATACAAGATTCTTCTTCCATTCAAGATTATTTCCATGACTTTGGAAATAATTGTCAGGCAGCATTTGATAACCAAATTAGAAAAACGAACACTTGGGTAGCAACTATACATTGACAACTTTTTAATTGCAATTCATCTGTATGAACACATTGAAACAGAGTACAAATCATCCCGTTGCAAACATTTGATTTGTCATATCTGAAAAAAAGAAAAACAAACGTATTGTGACATTCACAAAATAGCTATTAATAACAAACTTTCCAACATCCATCTTGGTTTCTCCCATTTGATATCAAATTTACTTATGAATATAAATGAATTTATGAAAATAGTATCTTGAATAAAAGTGTATATGCAAACCAACATTGTTTTTTTTTTGCAGACTTTAATAAAATAGCATACTTAAAATTGCATCCTTTTAATGAATTGAGATTTAGTGAAGTGTTATTTATATAGTCTTACAAACAGATTATAGAAATATATTAAATATAATTCTTGTGATCAATTCATCCACTAGATTACCGTTTAAATGTGTCGTTTAAAATTGTATATCTTTCTGTTATCAATATTTTACTGTCAAATAGCAAGAGAATTGGCAAAAAAGTGAAACATCCTTAAGTTTTGAAAATAAAAACGTTCATTATTATATACCTTACAGATTCGCAAATGGAATATATAAATATTCATATAAGATGTCTAATGTGGTTTGTGCAGTACAAATTCATATATTTCTAATGCTGATGAAAAACCTTCATGGACTTTTAAAGTCAAGAATGATCTTATAGCTGATTCTTCAAAATTTGTGATTAGCGTCTCTAATATACTGCCATTCGTATTGCCATTGAATTCCACCTGAATGCAGGTCAATGCATGTTTTTTTAACGGTTAGTTTGGCGAATTAATCATATTGAAAGGATAACAAAATTATCCAACAAATAGTACAGTGACATGTTAGTTTCACTGGTGTTCACTATGACGTCATTTTTATGGTGTTATTTATAGCCTCAAATCATCCATTTTTTGCGCTCGAAACGACCAGATGCATTTACCTATATTAAGTTTTTCGTTGGATGGCAAATATGAAATTTAATTAAACATCAATTGGTTTTAGAGTATTCCTTATCCCAAGGAATTCGATGTTAAAACTGGAAAACGAACGTCTGTGAGTATTGAAGTGTAAGTGCTTTGTAATGTGCGAGCTGGCATCAATCCAGCCGCTGACCCCATTAGGCGTTGTCTAACTATTGATCTTGTTTCCAGTTTTATACCGAATCACAGGTAAAACTACATATTTAGCTTCCTAGTAAGGTAGTATTTCCCCTCATATACTGTGGCTATTTCACTGTACTTAATAATAGTTATGTCATGCATTTTATCAAAGTTGGTTCTCCCTGATGTAAAAACTGATACTCACTTTTCTTCAAGATATAGCAATCAACCTTGTTACAATAATCGCTGTCACAGCAAGCATCGCATATAGATTGGCCATTTGCTACCTCTCGGCCTGGATGACCCACAACATCATTGGCGGCTGAGTTCTGGCACAACTGAGATAATATATACATATGTATATTATATATAAGAAACAATTGGCATATAAGCAATAACGACAATGCAGACAAAAACATTTGTCAAATTTTATGTATGTAATAGTAATATTAAATCAATATTTGTATCGCACCTAAGACAGATAAACCATTTTAATCACCCATGCTGGATCTTTTTTCTCGTCTGATCTGTCTGGTACCTTAAGGTGACATTTAGCGGATTTTCACACGGTGATTTATTCATCTGGTCGTTAACATCTTTAAATGGACAAGATGCTTTATAAATATTATGTTTGTCGTTATTGTTTTTGATGTCCTTAGATATCTGATGTTGTAGATCAAATATAATCTACATGGTGCGTTTTCTCCTTTTTTTTACGCGGGAGCCTTCGAATGTTGCTTAAGAAGTGAAGATGTCATATTTATTTGAAACCCCAAATAGGATACTTGTAGTATTAAGCTAAAAAATATTACGAACTTAGAGGTGCGAGAAACAAAGTCATTTACCTGTAACTGAGCAAGATCGGGTTATCTCAGTCTCGGGCTTAGATTTATAGAATATCTAACCCCTTCGGGGTCTGATAGGGGAATCCCAACTTGAGGTGGGGAATTATTAAGTTCCCAAACACATGGTTTGACCTGTACGATTTCATATTATTTAATAGAAATACCGGTAATTATAAATCAAAGTGTATCATACTCAATGATATTTGATAATTTGTTAACTAGTCACTTACATGTTTGTCTTGACATCCAAACGAGTAACGAAGTGAAGAATATTCGATGTGTATACCAGCATAACAAACCTGTAACAATTCGAGGGAGATAATCCGAGCTCAACTTAAACATAGAAGTACAAGAAAAAGAAAAAAATGATATTCACACAGTACAGAGAACGTTTAAAATCACTTGAAATAATTTCAAGTTAAATAAACAAGGAAAACGAAGATAACACAAACATAAATCCCTCTAAATTTGGAAATGCAATGTTTTCTGTCACCACAAATTGCGCTCGAATTTTTTTTCATAACAACAAGTATGAATGATATGAATTAACCTTTATACGATGTAGCAGATGTGTCACCACGAAGTAACAATAACATATTGAGAACCAAATAACAATGAACAACGACAAATAAGGTTTTGTCATACTTCATCATAACATCCTCAATTGTAGGGATGATGCCTGTCCTACTACAAAATATTAGCTTTATAGGTCTAACCTTTCTATCCTGGCACGTCTCGTAAACCAGACAATCAGCTGGGGAAGTTACGGAGCTACATGATAAACATCTAAGCTGACTTGGTCCACCTGGAAACACAGATAATTCATAATGGAAATGTTAGTTGTTGCAATTATAACATTATTATTATTAATATACATGATCGTAAAGATACCTGCTTATAAGCAAGTTAACACTAAAATCATCTACTACAAGTTTTCATATACACAGTAATTGTAGAGGACATAAAAGTGCTGCAAAGAATGTTTCTTCTTAAACGACACATTACATTCGATCTATTGTCATGCCGGTAGATAAATTTCCCATTCATAGTTGAATTTTTTCCAGTTAGGATCGTTTAGAAGGATAAAACTGTTCTCTTGTACCTGCTTGGGTTCTTGCGAGGAAATGCAAAAAGTATACATTTTATTGTACTAAGCCACGTTTTCAGTGACTTCAATATTATATTATGTGATTTATTAAATGGTTAGTCTGCTATACAATAATGGGTATCACCAAGTTAGACAATATCGTTACACTATAACTGTTATGAAATATCTATATTTTTGTTGCAAAAATATGTCCTAGAGATACATGTTTCGATGTTTTTTACCAATAAATACAAATTACGGCCACTAAAGAACGTAATTGTATAAACCCCATTTCATTAAATAGCAATTCGTTCCATATGGTCAAAAGAATGCCAACTTCATAACATTGTGGGTTCCAATAACAAGAAACACCATCGTAGATCGTTCAAAGAGCTTAATTACCAAGAAAAATGTTTCTTCAGATTGTCTTGGATGAAATATTTTACACATCTATAGCTAAATTGCTAAATTTACTTGACAGCAGAACGAAATTGCTAAATTCGGCACATGCGAGGATAAAACGTTCATGTGTTCAAAACAAAAGGTAATCATCCGCGAATGTTGTTTAAGCATATGCATATGTAATTCGTTAAAAGTGCCTTGTAGGAAGATTGACTATAGCTTTGCATGTATTTTCTACGCACAGTTTCTTTTTTTTCGTTCTGCGCTGAACTCTTTTTGTGTTCTTTGTCCTAACATGCTAATTGAAATCTGGTTAAAGTGTCATATTTCTAGCAATCGACGGAAGGTTCACGGGACAAGGGTTTCAAAATAACGATACTTTTAATCATTATGGCGGAGATGTACATGAGTCGCGTATAGCTGTAATTAGCAACAACCTAGAACAGATCATTGTTGGTGAAGATTCATCATTCTTACAGTTTGGGGTCGCACAACGTCAAACGATATACAATTTGAACACGATGTGCTCACAGAGAAAAACATTAATAACGATTCGAGGTTCATATGTACCGCTTTGTCACAACCTAATTCGAAGGTCGTCTCAAAGAGGTTCAAAATGATTATCCGTGGTTATAAGACCTTTGCAACCAGCCAATATCTTTCTCAACTCCCCGGGGAGCACACAACCCGTATTACTCACAGCTAGTATTCTACAATTCACGCATTGCCAAACCACGAATTCATATACAGCTGAGTAGACTAGAATAAGCGTAGTAAAGTATCTTGCTCAAAGATACAATACAGTGCCGTGCCGTGACTCGAACACGCAACTCCTCGGACACGAGCATGCCGTCCTATACCTGTGGTATGTATCGTATTTGATGTATCTTAGGAAACGGCCTGTGGATAAATACGGTTTCGTATTTAGTCTTGTATATTTCTTCATCAAGGAAATTTGTTATATTTAAGCCTAATTACCATGGTTGTCTATTTTCTAACAGTAATAGACCTATCGCATACTGAATTTTAAAAAACAACCTTAATCGTGTATACTGTAGTTATACGGTCATATACATGTAAGTACTGTATGCATATATGAACTGTTAACAAAGTATCTTTACCTGTGACCAGTTACCTTACAATTACCAGATAATGGGTAAATATTTTGATTACTAGAAAACCGTGAAGGGAGCGTGAAATTTTCACACAAAATGTAACAGACAAAGTCAACACCTGTGGGTCCGGGTGTGCTTTCATAACTATCAATCGCCAAAACAATCTCATCAGCTATTTACTCAATTCGATTCATTACGGATAACAATGTGGAGTACTGTACCTGACAATACTGCCCCATTATTGATAGTGTTACAGTCAGTTTAATCATATGTAACGTGCATAGAAAAAAAAATATGAATAATAAAATATTCCGATCGGATATATTAAACACGTATACCATGAACCATATTCCCCCTAAAATCTTCCGGATTGCTTTCATTCCTTAAAATCGATCAAAAGACATTTATCGCGCACTTGTGTGCACGTTTTCTCCCACAATGGGTTGATCGATCGTTAAGTCGCACAGTTGTGCACACTATGTGCGGAGAATGTGCGCACGGTAATTTTGGTGCGGTGCGCGATTCAACAACTGTATTAAATATATATGGAATATAGCGTTAGATATACATACCTGGATTAAGACCACAAAGAGTGTCCTGGCAGTGAGGTCCTGTACAACATTTTCCACACAGTGATATCGATCTTTTACCAACCGCACCAGCTGAGAGCGATTGCATGATCACGCAAGCCTGCAAATACAGATTAAATTGAGTATTAACGAAAAACAATCTGAAATGATTTATAGATGATGAGTAAACAAGAAACAATGTTTTGAGAGGATGATATATAATAAAGCTGATGAGAGAAATAATAGAAATGAGTTATGCTTAATATAAAATAGTTGTGTATTTATAACATTACTAATTTATTGAAAAGAATGGCTTTGGACATACTTGAAAGAATAACATACATTGTATATGATTGAAATCTGCTTCAATTACATGCATTTCAACATTATTCCATATGCGATTGTAATGTCCCGAATGACGTAATTGAGTTCACTCGTTCCCCCTTTTCTGCAGACTAATTTTCCCGTATTGTCCTCATGACAATGCGCGAGAAAATATATGTGTTCATGTTATCCTAGGAAGATATGGGAAGAGTACACTGTGTTTGATACACATTTATATGAAAGAACACACTAATAAGCTGCATACATGATAACTGGATCCTTAGATTAAACTCGTATTCAAGCAGCCAACCCCAAAATTTGAATCTTGTTTAAAGAAAGTTTCTAAGGCATATAAAAGATAAACAGTTGTAGCTCTTGTTAAATATTATAAAACAATAGGACATCACAATTCCTTGTAATAGTTACTTTAAACCATGCACACCTATTAAGGAAAATAAGGATCTTGAAATTTTAGTCTGCAAACACATTTTACTCTAAATTATTTAATCTGGCCTCTGACGTTTAGACTTTCAAATTATTTTGAATACATTTATGAATTTCAACACTTTAACTAGCGAATACTAGTGGTCGCAAATTCTGTGCATATCTAAACCAGTTACAATTGTACATCCCTCAAGTTATAACCCATTCTACGATAGAAAATTAAATATACTGCGTACAAGTGTGTTCATGCAATTCCTTTTTTTAATATTATCCAGTTGGGTAAATTATCCCCGATTAAACATAGGCGGTATTTTTTTATAAAATGTAGTTTTTTCTCTGATTTTCCACGTATTATATAGGTTCCTTATGGGGTTTCTCTTTCTAAGCAGTAACGAAAAGATGCTCGTAGATACGAAAATAATGCTTTTTGACATTTGCACATCTAAAGTAATCATATCTTATACAAATTTTCTTTCATTAAAACAAAAGTTTGTAAGATGGCTTTTGTTATAAACTGTTCTTCGTGTCTGTAGTCGTTAAAATAAGTTTATATGTATGTTATATATGTAAGTTAATAATTAGAGAAAATTAAGGAATATTTGCGACGGGTAAAATGGCTTTACACTTTATTTAGGAAACTCCATGTACATAGATATTTCATTGAATTCATGTACACTTCTATGATGACATCGTCCGACTCAAACACACATCTATATTGAACATTTAATTATAAAAGCCCCCATCCCTCGAAAAAAATGAAAAAAAAAATGAAAAAAACGACAAAAACACAAAAAGTAGAAAGGAAACAAAAGACTTACCGTATTTGACCTACACCCAGCGTTGAACACGACCTCATTCGAATCGGTGACAACCTTTTCCACGAAACATTGCTTGGGGAAAATAAATCATGACATGTACAACCATTTTTCCGATATCAAATATTCTGAAGACTACTCAACCAGATTATCACAGACAAAGTAAACATTAGAGAAAAAAAACGATATCCATGTTTTCATTAAGACTCAAGACTATCTTTAAGCATTGTCTCGCAAACATCATGAAACAAAACTGATTTTTAGCTCACCTGGCCCGAAGGGATTTGAACTAAAATTGTTTTAGAGTATATTTGGTTAAAGGGATTTTATTTCTGTATAACGGAGAATGTTGCCCCCTCTTGCGACAGAAATGCGGGACCAAATAGTGGGTAACAGGTAGATCTTTGAAAAAGTCTTCTTCTCCTCAACCAATGAAAGGATTTTGAACATTTTTTTTAAAGAGCATCTTTGGACAAAGAAGGCTGAATTTTGTTTAAACATAAGGTGTGGTGTACCTGGGGGCAGAGGAGTGAAATAGAGCAAAGCAATTCCCCTTCTGTGAAAAATAAGGGATTTAAAAGATGAAGTCTGAAGAATGCTTAGGTTAAACATACTCAATGTGTACAGATCGAGGCTCTAGCTTTCCGCTTTGGGGCAAAGGGGTGCACACGAAGCCCAATAAGGAAATAGGGGAAAATTAAAAATTATTCCTGCATTTTTTATTAATGAAGGGATTTTACTCAAACTTGTTTTAGTGCGTTTTTTGGAAAAAGAGATTTTGATTTAAGTTTTGAACGGCGTACTCCTTTGATAAACCTGTGTAAAATATCTGTTGAGCTGTTAAGGCACATGTGCCTCTTGTATGAACTTTAATGGGATAAACGATTCAGTTGCATTCAAAAGTATCTACAGTCTGTATGCTTGTACCGTTTGACGAAAAAGACATTCATTTGATATAACACAAGTGACCTTATCACTTCGTATTGATACACTACAATGACGTAGCATAGGGCGTGCTTGGTTCACAACCATCCATGAAGATTTGCTTTTCTAAAATGAACTAATATTAAACATGATTAGATTGATTTTAAAGCTACACATAAGTTTGAAAAATGCATAAAGTATATGATAATTATATATTTGACTTCTAAAAACTCTACAAACTAAATTTTGAAAATGGAACTATATTTCTTTGGTTTTGTTGTTATGCTGTTGCTAGAACCCAAGCGAATGTTGTACATTTCCCAATGAACATACTCTGTTGTTCTCTATACTGAAATAACTGCCATCGCTATTTATGAATAACCAAAAATTACCGGTTTCTGTTTACTTATGCTGGCATCACAAAATTCAAAGCAATTAAAAATGTAAATATTAGGGTTGGAATCTTTTATGGAACATTCATGAATTCATAACACGATTTATTGCATATGTCATGAAAACAAATGTTGTTATGACCTCATGATTGGTCCTTAAATAAAACGCACTGAATATCGTTTCATACCGACATAAGAAATTAAAATGTCTTCGATGTTATCTACATGAACATTATCTGTGTTCAGTCTATGCCGTATACCTCGCTAGCAGGACAGGCCACTGTGGTCTCCTGACAAACTGCTAAACTCCCTTCATTACTGCATTCCCAGCATCTTTGATCGCACTTCACTGTCAATCAATTAAAAAATAACGTTATAATCCAATATTATCATTGAAGGAATATAAAATGCCCGCATGAACACTAGTACTATTCTGTATGGTAACAATGCATATTCATATGACTATTAATATGATTAAAATAAAAGTTAATTAATATTAATAATAATGTGAGGTTCTTATATAACGATTTATCACAACCTAGTTCATAGGTTGTCTCAAAGCGGTTCTCAAATTATTAACCGTGGTTACAGGGCCTTTGCAACCAGCCAATATCGTTTTCAGCTCACCAGGGAGCATACAGTCGGAGCTGCCATTTCGGCTCTCACCGCTAGCATTTTTTTATTCTAGCACTGCCAAACCACGTACTAATTTACAGCTGAGTAGACCGGAACAAACGGAGTAAAGTATCTTGCTCAACGATACAATACAGTGCTGTGCCGTGAGTCGAACTCGCAACCTTTCGGTCACGAGCCCGGTGTCCTACCACTAGACTACCGTACCTCCCCAATATAAACAATAACAGATATGCTAACTTTTACCGGTTCATAGGTCGACAATAACATACTATTTGCGTTTCAGATGGGTACTTTACTACCAGTATTTGGTCAGTTATTATGGTAGCGACGTGCTAACAAGATAAACAAAAATTACTTATGTTACCAAGACAATTTGATTGCTATCAACATAAGAACATGGCAATATTGATGTTACCGTCATATCAACAAGGCAATATTACCGTTACTACTATGGCAAAAACCATTATTATTGTTATACCGTCATGGCAACGAGACAATATTATTGTTACCGTCATGACAGCGAGGCAATACTACTGTTACCGCCATGGCAATGGTTCTGTTGACATCATTGCATTTGTTTAAATTGTTGTGTTAATATGACAAAGATATTTTTAAGACTGCATAATTTTACAAAAGTGAATAAGCAAGGAAGATAGCATTAATAAATACTTACCGAGAGTAACAACAGACAGCCAAATGACAACTTCTGTCGGAATCAAAAACAATTACATTTCAGGAACTGGTAAGAAAATGGTTCTGTCTCGTTGGCAATTATTTAATCCTTATAACATAACGATTGATACACTGTGCTTGAGTTGTAGCTAGACCGCTGATATTTGATTCAATATAACCCGTATAAACCGGGCTTTGTGTACTCAGGATCCCTGGCTGTATCGGCTTTGGTATTAGGTTCAAATGTTTTTTTGTCTAGAATTGCGTGTCTTTTCATCCCTGTATACTAGAAACCAAGCGTTGCGTACTTAACTTATCATGTAAATCATTCCTAATAAACACTTTTCATAGCAGCTGTTCAATTTCTCTAGAACTGTTAAATAGTTGCGTAAACGTTAAAAAGTAATCGTTATCTGCATTGTAGTCACCTGGATCTAAATACATTACACGCATGCTCTTGCACACAGGGAAGACCGTCCTTAAATGACCATAGCTGTCAATAGGACGTTTAACAATACTAAACAAAACAAAACAAAACTTAACAAGGTTTGGCTTTATGCACAAACAAAGTACTATCAAACGTGTCGCAACGTTTTAAGACCGACTGATCCTTTTTTCTGTTTATGACTTAGTGAGCGTACTGTTTATGTGTGTAACGATAAGACCACATTGACATTTTTTTCTGATTGTCATTAAGCTAATTTTTTCTCTGATCAGTTTGCAAAACTTGAGAATGTACTACAATTGTAATACGATTCCATCATTAATCCTTGTAATATACCTCAACATTTTTTGCCCTTTCTCTAATTAAACCGTCAGCTTCGACGATGATACTTTTTTATTTAACTAGTTATGGGGTTTCCTGTACTTATAAAACGGATTACGACTCGGTTATATCAATAAATTATTGATATGAAATACTGTATGATTAGGTGATAAAATAACCACATCCTTTTTTCTAAGATTTAGCAAAGATATCTTAATTAGGGAAATCAGTTCGGTGCAAATATTGAAACGAAATGAGTTATGTACAGATAAATTTTAAATGTTTTTGTTAAAGTATACACGTAACAAAAAAAATCCAATAAATCGACAGATAAAAAAAAATCACGAAAAGACAAATATTGCGAAGAAAGTTCATTTCCTTATCGAATTGTAAAATTATTGTCATTTGATATAAACTTGAAAGAATATTTTTTTTAAACTTTACAGAGTCTTATTAAAAGAAAAATCACAGAAAGAAACTCTGAATTATGAAATTCGGTGTGTACTAAATGTTAGGAATATTTGATTACAATGCAAATATGTTACAAATCCTCAATATAATAAAAAGCCTGTTAATTTAAAATTTTAGTACGAAAGTTCCATATGGTGGAAACGCTAACTAAGTCAGGCCTTCTGCACCAAACAGCTTAAATTCAAACTTATTTTTTTTCTTCCTTTTTCTTGTTATTTTGAACCTCGATAATTGAATGCTCTGATAGTTCAAAATTTGAAACCTGCAGAAATGTTACTGAAAAATAAGAAGACTTGACTTACCCCGCAGCATTGTTCTTGAGTTTTGAATACGTGTCTGAAGTCTACTTCGTGATTTAAGAAACGTAGATAAGAAGAAAGTGCAATGCAAGTATAACCTTTTTTGAAATATAGATAAGATATACGACCGCAGAGTATGTTCTTGTGCAGGTTCGGGCCCACATAATTTAACATAATTATGTAAGTTTTGGGACTTATAGAGTCTATCATATGTAGGAATTGATACTAATAGTATATTATATGTAGGTATGGGTACAAAAAGTTTTCAAAATAAAAAAAACTTTAAATGCAATAAAAAATAAATTCAATTTTTAGGTCACCTGAGCTTTAGCTCAAGTGACCTATTGCTATCCGTTTTCGTCCGTCGTCGTCCGTCGTCCGTCGTCCGTCGTCCGTTAACATTTTACATTTCAAACTTAAAGTCAAGTTCTGCTGGGCCGATTGAACTGAAAGTTGGTAGGAATGATCGCCTCATGGTCCTGACAAAGTGTTGTTATTTTTCGGGTCGATCAGAAATCCAATATGGCCGCCACGGCCGCCATTTTGAAAACCTATTTCAAACTTAAAGTCAAGTTCTGCTGGACCGATTGAACTTAAAGTTTGTAGGAATGATCGACTCATGGTCCTGACAAAGTGTTGTTATTTTTCAGGTCAATCATAAATCCAATATGGCCGCCACGGCCACCATTTTGAAAACATATTTCAAACTTAAAGTCAAGTTCTGCTAGGCCGATTGAACTGAAACTTTGTAGGAATGATTGACTCATGGTCCTGACAAAGTGTTGTTATTTTTCAGGTCGATCAGAAATCCAATATGGCCACCACAGCTGCCATTTTGGTAAACTATTTCAAACTTAAAGTAAAGATCTACTTGGCCGATTGAACTGAAACTTTGTAGGAATGATCGAATCATGGTCCTGACAAAGTGTTGTTATTTTTCGGGTCAATCAGAAATACAATTTGGCTGCCATGGCCGCTATTTTGCTACTAAGTTCTAATAGGCCGATCTCACTTAAAATTGGTCTAGGAATGATCAGCTCATGGTCCTGACAAAGTTAAGTTAACATTATACTATTTTTTACTCAAATTGGTACATATTTCAACAACAAAAATAAATACTATAGACTCAGGTGACCGTTAAGGCCCATGGGCCTCTTGTTTCGTATTTAAACGAGTAACCAAATTTTCGTATTTGTATGCTTTAAGCGATATACAAATTATCGTGTTGCTTATGAAGTTACTGCTGAAATATTATACGGTTACTACCAATATTGCAGGACTTTCCAAGTTATATGGAGAACACCTGACCAAAACGCCTTTTTTTATTTCCCTTTTTCGTCTACAGAGGTGTTCACTTACTTCTTTTCATCAAGCACTGACATTTTATATTCATACACAATTGAATTTAACACCTAATCATTTATAAGAGGTAATACGAAAATAAGCAAAATACTTACCGTATTTGACCTACACCTAGCGTTGTACTGAAATTATTTATTTTGATTATGAAATGGTTGTTGTTGCACACCCAATAAGTGTTTCTATGTGACGTTTCGATGACTAGTACGGTATGTACTCTCTCACATTCATTAGACAAATGACCAGTGAAGTGTATGCACACAAAGGAGTAAAATGTGTACGAGTTGTCCCAAAAAATCGATGTCGATTCGGATACGCTGGAAACGTATGTGATAAAACTCGTACATATTTTACACCTTTGTGTGCATACGTTTCATTGGTCATTTGTCTGATGAAGGTGACAGTGTACATATCGTACTAGTAATCGAAACGTCACATAGAAAATTGTATTGGTTGTGTAAAAAGAACTTCTCATAAACTTAGTGTTTTATATATATATATAGGAACTGGCCCTTATTCATACAATTGAATATGTATAAGGACATCAAAGTGCCGCAAGGAATTGGTTTCTAAAACGACCCATTGGAACTTTTGTGGTGTCGAAAGATACGTTTCCCATTCAAAGTTGCATTTTTTTGTCAGTTACACGGACCGTTTAGAAAGATAAAACTGTTTTCTTGCACTCGTTTTATTCATTCATATATGTATGCCTCCAAACCTGAAGAGTTTTATGAAAAACTTAATTTAAATATATATTGGGTATAAGAAATTAATACAATTACAAAATAAAGTATAATGACTAAACAGAAAAGCTGGTTGAATGATACAAACTCATACATTTAACGATTGCACAGCTTTCATTCAGTAAAATATAAAAAAGGTTATTTACAGGGTCAGAAGTTTTCTCTACAAAAATGCAACAGTCTCGTACAAAAGACGAGAAAAGATCGCCGTCTTCTCCTAAAATTCCTCGAATCAGACCAAGAGGAGATCCAAGAAAGGTAGCTATTTGAATATCCCGACTCGCCTGGTCCAGTGCAACGTAAACATAAAAAGAGTAGTCGTTGACATTTTTGGAGAAGATGCTATCGCGTAAAGCTAACATGTCTTCGCCAGCGAAGTCCAAGTTATTATGTGCAACTGCATCGACTACAAACACATTGCATTGTACACATGCTAATTCACAATCTGGAGAAATAATCAGAGTTTTGCAACATCAGCGCATGTTCTACAAACGTAGGAAAAACGTTTAGATAAATACCAAATAGTGGACGTTTTCAAGATTGTTTAGGAGGAAAAACATTTTTTTTACGAAGGCCAACAATACTTCATGTTAGAGATATTGATGAAAGATTTTCCAAACATCTGAAAAAAAACCTTCTCCACATTGAAAAATTCCAAAACATTATCTTCAAAATAAATCGTGTACCTAGTCTACATAAACCAGCAAAACATCGAAGTTAGGCTAATTCAACCTCGAGGTGTATTGAGGTAATGCCTAATATGCTGAGAACGATATCTGCCTCTGAGACAACTTCATTGCCGAGAAACCAGCTCCGAGTCGTCTTTAAGAAAGCAGTTTTACTTTCATTAAAGACAATGACAACATACTTAGGTGCATTGTATTTGAATCTCCATTTAAGTATAGTAGTGGTATCCATGAGATTGTCCAGACCACGTTTACAAGAAATAACAACGTAATATCGTCAGCTTGAGTTGGACAAGTTACATTCTTTGCAGCTCACATATCATTTAACAAATCATTTATGAATACTGTATATAACCACGGGGAGATAATGCTTCATTGAAGCGTACCTTGGCAGACTTTGAACTAATCGGAAACGAAGCCTTGGTGAAAACAGCATCAAACATTTGTTTCATATAAAGAAGCAATACTATGGATATACTTTGATTTGAAGCCGATTCCGGCGAGTTTATAATAGGCCAGTATGCCATGCGGAGTCAAATACTTTGGCAGCATCTAGGAAGCAAGCAGGCAATTTACTGTTATTGTCAGAAGCATACGGAACAGACTTGTGGACTAAGTAAGAAGTCATCGTACTACTGACATTCTTTGAAAACCGTTTTGGTACATATTAGTCTTTAAGAATTGTTTTGAATCCAGTCGCACAAGTTATAATTTCTTAAATACTTTTAAAATAACAGATAGTAATGAAATGGCACGAAAACTATTTGGATCACCCTTATGTTTGTTGTGACTTTTATACAGTGTACAAATCAGACCTTTTGTAAACAGAGATGGAACATACTTTAACCTGCAGAAGCGTTAAAATAAACACATTAACAATTGTATAAGGCGTCGTTAGCATTTATCAAAAGTTCATTAACAATATGATCATATCCAGCTTCTTCGCCCACAGGGAGTTTTTGCAGATGAACTTTACCTCATTAAAAACATTTATCAAAGCAGTTGTTTTCCAAAACATGATTATCCTGAATACATGTAACAAATTCATCGATTATTGCTTTAAATTTTGCATCGAAATATCCTCTAGAGGATTCGGAAGTAATATCTGCAAAATACTTTCCCCAGTGGAAAGCTAGGCGAGCATGATCTCTGATAACTTCACCTTTAAATTTCATTTCAGCTCTAGCAAACCCCGAAGTGTAAGTACAACTTTTTCTAACAAGAGACTATCACTTCTTTTGGTAAACGTAAACACAGCTTTCAATTTCGGTGTTTAAGTCTATACAATATGATCATCTTATATCTGTCCTAAATAAGCCGTTTGCATCTTTGTAGCTTCGAAATGTGACTGGGTCCGTGTATTACGCAGCCAACCTTGAGACCCAAATATGTCGACCTCTTCACATGTTTTGATGAAGATCTTTGAGTTTGTTGTTTCACTAGGGTTTTAAAAAGACCTGCGGGGGTTATGTGTCAATTTTTGCCTCATTAAAACTAAAAAAAAAATGAATTTCTGGTATAAACATCATATTGGTTAATTGCGGTTACATGTATTGGTGAAGGTTTTTTTCTAATGCGCATGCGTAAATGCCATACCATAGCAACAAAATTGCGTTGCTATTCCGAAATAGCCAACATATGTGTTTTTGGACAATAAGTACGCCGAAACCAAAGCCTCCGCATATGACAAACAAAAAATCTTTTCTACGAATGAACACTTGTATGACAATGTTTAAGCTTGTCAAATAATTTTGTCTCTCTTCGTAATGCCTTATCTCCTAAACCAGTTGTCGAAAGAACCTGAAATTTTATATTCGCGTACGTCATTTATTCCAGATTACGAAAATAAGAACTAATTCTAAATTCCTGTTGAGGCCAGAAATAACCCTTAACTCCCCCTAGTCCTTTGCAAAATTAACATTTCGACAAGGTACATCCTGATGATTATTTATGAGTATTTATCAACTTCATCTTTAGTATCAAGATGCAGTAGGGTATTCAAAGAGGAATCGTCGATACGTGCAACAAGATCTACGCGGTAGTTGTCAACATTTTTGGAGGCTCCCCTGGATATCTACTTAAAAGAAATGCGTGTGTGTTTATCACAGTAATTTTCACCATGAACCGAATCAGGGGAAACCATTTCACATACCAACGGCCTTTTGTTTGACGCGTCAATATAATCGCCATCCAAGATGGAACATTCGCTCACTAGGTCTAAATGAGAATGTAACGGACTTTTACAGAGGCTACAGGTTGACAGCGCATACAACTGTAAATGGTCAAGGTATTTTTGAAGGAGCCTGCCGCGTTGATTTTGATAACCGGGAATACGCAAGCCATGTAAGCGGGCATTGAATTCCCCCATGACAATTATAGACCAATACAGGGAAAATGTTGTCCACAGCTCGTCAAGCTTTTGGATATACTCCTTTAATAAGTCTGAACCATATATTGATGTACATGTGAAGGAAGATAAACTTGAAGAACATGGAGTAATTTGGAATCCAGGACGAGCTTGATTATGGCAATCCTGCCATCAGTAGAATTCCCGATCGTAACGTGATCATTAAGTCTCTGTGTCACATCAAAGCGACACCTCCTTCTCGATATCGATGATCAGCTTGTGGAGCCAAGGACAAGTCTACAATTGCTAGGGAGTGATAGTTCTGATGAACACTCTTGAAAAGATGTAGATTATTTTCGAAAAACCAGTGTTCCGCTTCTCCACAAATGTTAACGCGTTCCCCGAATATTCGACATTACGAGGAGGACGATATGAAATAACAGGAGACGAACGGCAAATCTAGTTGATCCCACCATCGAGCTTTGAGGCATTATCGTAACCGTAGAACCGGTTGTTAGAGACCCATTTTCGGCATCGGATATCCTTTGGCCAGAAGTTTTCCTCTTTCTTTTTGTGGATACATGTATTAGACGAAATGACGTTAACTCGTGCAGAGACGCAAATCCTCACTGTGTGCGGAGGATGTGCGCACACCGTATGCGCGATGTGCGCACGGTAATGTTGATACTTGTACGACCCAACAACTGTATAAATTAGATGTGGAATATGACGTAAAGTAGACTCATATGTATACTTGGCGTAAAACCTAAAAGATTGTCCCGGCATTGAAGTCATGTACAACAATTTTCACACAGTGCTATCGATCGTTTCCCAGCCGCACCACCTGGCAAGCCTGCAAATAACAATTAAATTAAATATTAATGAAAAGCAATTTGGAATGACTTTTTATGATGTGTAAAACAAAAAACATTTTGGGAGAGGATGAATGTATAATACAGATGATGATGAAAATATTAGAATCGAGTTGTGCTAAATAAAATATAGATGTGTATTTATGACATTGCTAGTATATTGAAAGGAATGGCTCGGGAAACACTTGAAAGATTAACATATATGATTGAAATCTGCTTCCATTACACGCGTTTCAAAATCATTCCAATTGTAATATCCCAAAAGACGTTTTCGCTGATTTTCCATGTATAATGGAAGACTGTAAGGTGGATTTTGTTATAAATTGTTTTTCGTGTCTGTATTTTCTAAAATTAAGTGATATGTATGTTTGATGGGTAAGTTAGTAATAAGAGAAAATTAAGGAATATTTGCGACAGGTAAAGTTCATTTACAATTTGTTAAGAAACATACATAGATGTATGTACATAGATAATTCATTGAATTCATGTACAATTCTATAATGACATCATCCGACTCAAACCTACATCTGTATTGAAAAATTAATTATATAAAGCCCCCATCCCTCAAAAAAACAACCAAACAAAAATAAAAAATCGGCCAAAAACTTGAAACTAAAAAATACAAAGGAAAATACTTACCGTATTTTACCTACACCCAGCGTTGACCTCATTTAAATCGGCGACAACCTTTTCCACGAAACATTGCTTGGCTCTTTTTCATACTCTCATACTGTATTTCTTTCTTTTTTACCTCAATTTGTTACACTCTCGTTTTAAACACTTCTCACACGGAGGTAACAACAAAAATTAGCACGGAAATATTGTCCAGTTTCCGGATTCATTAGTTATGTGTTTTCATGTATTTCCGCTGTTTATTGTTCACTGACAGTGCGAAGGATTATAGAATGAATAAAAGTGGTAATTATTATATTTAAGTGAATGTGAAAGCTAATAATATATATTGAACCTAATCAGGGAAAACAGTTCGGTGCAATATTCAAATAAGTCAATATTGAATATTGAACCGAAATGAGTTATGTACAGATACATTTTGAACGTTTTGTTAGAGTATACACGTGACAAAATGAATTCCAAATTAATCGACAGATAGAAATAATCACGAAAAGACAAATATTGCGAAGAATCTTTATTTCCTTATAGAATCGTAAAATTATTTTCTCTTGATATAACCTTGACGAAATCAAATTTGTACAGAGTCAAATTATAAAAACATCACAGAAAAAACCCTCAAAATTAATAAATTAGGTGCGTACTAAATGTTAGGAACATTTTATTAAAATACAAATATGTTACAACTCCTTAATATAATAAAAAGCCTATTAATTTAAATTGTAAGTACGAAAGATTCATATGGAGGAAACGCTCACTTTGTCATGTCTTCTGCACCAAACAGCTTCAATTCAAAATTGCTTATTTTTTCCGTTTTCTTGTAATTTTGAACCTCGATAATTGAACGCTCTTATAGTTCAAAATTTGAAACTTGAAGAAATATTGATAAAAGGCTACACTTAACCCGCAGCACCGTTGTTGAGTTTTGAATAAATATCTGAAATCTACTTCGTGATTTAACCAACATAGATAATAGGAAAGTGCAATGCAATATAGATAAGATATACGACTGTTCTTGTGCAGGTTTTTTGGTCTTCATAGTTTAACATAATTATGAAGATATGAGGACGAAATAAGTTCATTGTATGTATTTTTGCGGGACTGATAGGGTCTATGTAGGTATGGGGACTAATAGTCTATTATATTTAGGAATGGGGCTTTAATACATATATGTACTTAAACAAATGTAAATATGTTGACGAAGCCCATTATAATGTATTATGTAGGTTAAGGAACGAATGGAGTTCATAATTTGGAGGTATGCGGCATAAATATATTTTAACATATGAAGATATAGGGACGATCATACCATCATATCAAGGTTTTAGGAATTAAATAGAGAATCTTTCATGAGTGTGCTTGTCATATAAAATGTATTGCACAGTGCAAAGTTGTTCTTTTTTTGAACAGTTTGTATTATAATGGAAATACTTAAACCAAAATAAACATTTCAAATTCATTCAATATCGAAAGCATTGATGGCCGTATGACACATTCATATAGATCATGTATGTGATAATACAGAATATTATATGAAGGTATGGACACTAAAACAGTTCATCATTCACTTGTGGGATCGCACAACATTACTCGATGTGCGGTATACGCACGATGTTAGCACGATGTGCGCACCATGTTCGAACGATAGAATACTAGACAAACACAATATTTTAACTTAATCTTTATGCTTATCTATAAATGTATTTAATTCAAAACGTGCTTTGTCATGTAAATTTATCAAGGAAATCAATTGACGCGTGTAATACAAACATTGACTTGGTCCCGTACAGACACACAGGTAAACTTTGTACACGAACCTGACGATAGTTGCTGTAGGGATGGGTTGGTGGATGTACACAAGTTAGGCCTTTTTTGTTTACATAATGAGCATACAGCCAATTAACGACCACCTCTCAGTGTCCGACACAGGTCAAGGAAACTCCAGGTCAGTAATCGACATGTTATTTACCTGATTTGTTATCCGAGAGCCAAGCCCTATTCTGTACAGTTTATATGAGTAATACTGTAGATGTGTGTTGATGATTTGTTGGGACCTCGTTTTGATAAATACAGCTAATGGCAGTCCTCAGTGTTGACCATGTTTGTTGTTGTCTGCAAGAACCCAAAATATCAACAATGTGAAGTATTTTTCAGTAATGATGTTTCAGAGATAAAGTAATATTGGAGAAAGGTTTCCAATAAATGGTTGGATTTTTTTGAAAAATATGACCAGGAAAAAGATAAATTAAAAAACCTGTTTTCATTTGATAATATCCTCCCGTCCACCTGACAAAAGATATATACTGTAATATTTCATAACCTGATTTACTTCGACAAGTTAAGGTGATTTAACAATCGACTTGTAGCTAATGAAAGGAAATAAACAATCAAAATTGGGGTATATTATCAATGTTTAATCGCGTCTGAAATTCTCACGTTTATAAAAGTCGGCATCAGTTCCGCGCTAATACAAGAAGACAAACACGAACATATCGCAGTCTCCCAAAATACACACACATACACTACACGCATGCATCTTGCACACAGGGGAGGCCGTCCTTAAATGACCTTAGCTGTTAATAGGACGTTAAACAAAATCAAACAAACAAACAAACAAATACTCACGTTTTCAGATAAATGCTTTCAATTGATGCTTCCACTGAAATTAGAGCAGTATACTCAAGTGAAAAGCAGTGTTTCCTCTCACATTAGGACCTCTCTCGTGCTACCATCCGAGCCAACAAAAGTGAATAATATTATTTGACAATTTCTTTTGATAATTATTGTCATATATATTAAGTGTATCAGCAATAACAACTACACTGATTAACCTGTGTTCGCTGCACAGTTCATTCACGCAGTATTTTGTGTAAACAGCATATTTTAGGATCCCTGCACCACTGCCAAAAACTCGTACTTTATACGATGACTTTTTGTTCCGACTTTAATAAATAATTTCCCGAAAACAAATCCTTATTGAACTTTATTAAAATTTATTTTGAAATAAGTCCTAATTATGATAAAATATAGCGTCTCAGTGTATTTACACGATTCAGTTTTCATTTACAAATTGATTTTGATAATTTACATGAATGTTGTGAGTTAAAACAAAAAATGACTGAGTAGGTTTTTCTTATGATATTATAGGATATATTCTGCGCTCTCTCCCCACCGAAGTAATACTTTATAAATCACTACGAAATAGTCCCGCTTTGGCAGTTTTCCTGGAGTTAATAAGTTGAAACGACTCAAATAATGAAAGGGTACTAACTCAACCCTAGTTGTAGCCGTGGAAAAGAAAATTTGGCCTAAAATGTATCTAATAATTTAACCCGTGGAATTGTAGGCTATTTATTTTACTTTTTTATTTGAAAAAAAACTTCTTTCGTGTGTAAAAAAGGATAAATCATAAAAAATGTAGCCTAAACGTGTTTCACATGTTAAAAAACATAGACAAACAGACAGCCTGGAAAGGGATACATATATGTAAAAATGTAAGATACATTTTTTTAATTTGAAATTATGACATTTGTAGCACAATACGTACATATAGATATACAGCACAAACACGTTTATCTGGCACAAGGATGGTGAGTCAATTTCTTAACTAATAAATAAACAGTTCAAAATATTCTTTTTTTAAATTGCAGGCTTTCATCTTGATTATATTTTGATAGATTCTGACGCGTTAAGATGGGATTAATAGATATCCATCTTCTTTAGCAGGCGGTGAGCAAACAGCAATTGGTCTGTAAACAGTTCACCGGGTAACTGGACCTGAAACATTCAGTGTAAACAATAGTGACATACTTATAATGTAACTACCGTGTTACGTCTCGTAAATCAAATACAGTAAACACAAACAATACCTTATGTTGTGATAATATACAACAGCTGATATAGCGCCCTACCTAACTAACATAACCCACTCTAAACCACTTTACAGTACATACATTTCAATTAATACAATAAGCATATACATTTATCAATACAATTTTGAGAAATTCACAGGAGCTTCGGATATTCATGTTTTTTATCAAATTATTTCGGCAAGGCTGAAGGAAATATGTCGATGTTTTAAAAGTGGGATATCAATCCAGTGAGTTCTTATTGTAACGGAAACCGTCTCATACTGCCTCTGTTGTCAGTCGGAAATGGTGTACAGGAAAGAATTTGTAATGGCCATAATACAAATAACTTGGGCATAAAAAAAAGAGAGGGACCGTTGGAATCACATTGGCGTACACCCATACATGTGTTAATCAATCAAGGGTCTCTTCGGCCATATTTTAATAACAATATACAGGTAAAACTAAAAAGTGTTACAGGCATCTACACATGCCCTCCAACGCTTATGTGAAGTTTCATAATTATCCGGCAGATCAGCTTCTGCGAGAACGCTCGGAAAGGGCTTGGCGTAAGAAAAATAAAGAAAAAGGAGAAGGACGAAAAATAATAAAACGAAACGCAGCTGAAGAGTTAGGTCCCCTGATTTGCTTGAGAGACTAAAATACATGTTAACATATAGTATTCCTTCTTTCTACACAGGCGAATGTAACAAGAATAGCAAATGAAACAGTAACATTAATGCGTATGTTCGCATAAGCTTTGTTTGGAACTAATATTTCACTCTATTGATTGACACGGCTTTTCCTACAAGCTCAAAGGTTAGATCGTAATATCGAGGGGCCGTTGTTTTTGATATTGGCTACGTGTAACAATTTAAGATACATCATGCCAATATTTTCTTGATGACGTCACTTTAATTTGTACGTCGTAATGTTCCTTGCCAAACACTTGACTTTTGTCCTTGCAATTTTCTGATGTTTTACCTTGATTCATGATAAAAAAAAACGTATTTCTACGTCTGATTTAACCATTTTGAACTTATCTTATATTTTTGTGAATATATAGTTGAATCGACCTGAAAAATAATAATGACATCGTTTTGGTCTTTGTAAATATCTCTATTTCAGGTCTATACGACCAAATATTCACCTCAATAAAAGTCTATAATTGATAAAAAAAACATACTTACATTGTTCCATTAGGCAAACTGGCTATGACTGGTCAACTGTCTGTATATCATACAAGCCGAGGCTATAGCAACTCCCTGTAAAATAAGAGTTTAATTGACCATGATAAATGGTGTCTGAAATTGACTAGATTGCATTAAAGTTGAAACGAGCTAGATAATGAAGATCCATGTACATGTATGGGAATCTAGTAGAACGATATGTTTGCAATACCACATATTGTACTATTTTGAATTCAACTGTAGAAATCGTGGAATAATACGAGGAGACCATTTTTTTCTAGCAAAACAAAATCCTAGATGAATATTTGTTTAAAAACAATACAATGCAAATAACAGTAATAAATTAACGACTAAGGGGGACAACTCTATGCCTTACATGCAGTGCACGTATAATTATTATAAAATGTACTATATGTGCATTGACTTGACAAGAAAATTAACACTGTAGCCATCACAATTAAACGACGGTTCCAAATAAATAAAGCCTGTTTTCGAAACCTCTATTAACCTACCTTGACCAACGATCTATTACCTTGCTATCCGTACAACCAGTAAAATAACTGTCATTTACGTACGTTTGTTTTTATTGTTATCATTGTCTAAAAAACGTCCGGGTTGGTTTTTTTCGAAATCCATATACATTCACATCGTGACTGACTTCTCTTCGGCATAGTGAAGCGTTCTGTTTGATTTTACAAAAACACAAATGCATAGTTTCCTGTCTCGTTGTTAGGCAAAAAGGTACAGAATTTCACTGAAGTTTTCTACGTACACTGTGTGCAGTGACTTCCCCTTAAATTCGTTTTTAATATATCTAACGCAACCAGGCTATGATACTTCCGTCGGCCATTGTTCACGTTATGGCACCGGTACGATGATCCTGAAGACTTTAAACCGTAACCTGTTGACCTGGTGACGCTTACCTGTACCAGAAGAGTGATGACTCCGACAGCGATGAAGGCGATGTTATAGCTGGCGATGAGGTTGTAGATGGTGTTAAAACAGCCCTAAAATGAACATACATTCAATAAAAACGAGTCGAATCTTTCATAATAAATAACTATTTAGCTCAGAGTTAGAACCCCTCCCAGAAATAGATTAAGCCTTCTGTAGTGCAAGAAAGACATTAAAAAACTCATAAATATCTTATATATCCACCAAAGAAAATATCTCATCACTTTGTTGAGTAAAATGTCAGACAAAAAAACAGGAAAAGGTCACAGGTTCGATCCCTACCGGTGACATGGAAACAATAAACGTCTATCTCATTAATGTCTTCAATTGATGTCAATATGTATAGTGATTCGGACAGAATAAAGCAGATAATAACTTTGTGCATTGACTGGAAAGATTTCCAAACAAAGTTCATATAAAATATGTAGTTATGCAAATAGCATTGTTTATGCTGAGAATGTGTACCGATATCACCTTATTCTGCCGCCGCTTCAACTATTACGCCTAGAATAGAGAGTATCGATCTGATTTAGACAATACCAAAAGTGATATCTTCCCATGTGAATATAAATAAACCGTTTCGTATAATTTTACTGCAATGATATAAAAAATTATCCAGCCCAAGGGAAATTGTTCTTTGTTTGTTTAACCCGAGGCTCTGCCGATGGTTGGTAAACCAAAAAACACGCCAAATGTTGGAATGTTTTTCTCTAACACCAAGTTGGTAAACGCTTAATTCTCTTTTATCATTGTTGCACCTACATCGACATTCTGGTATGTTAGTAAACAAAGGCGCACGTGTTGTATAAATATTGGCATTTACTACTTTGTATGACGCTACAAGTGCAGTTCACTTTGTTATGACGTCACAATTTTGCATCTCCCTCTTCGGAGCTGATCTTTCCCGGTTTAAATGGGAGACACACTTGTGAATGATGGGAAAAACAAATGTCCATGATCTGTACTATACAATACAATATAGCATTTACTACTGTAGTATTTAAATTTGACTTTAATTCTTTCTCTTACTCCTGAGATGTGTTTTCTCTATTGTTGTGACGTCATCTATTTGTGTGTACTGACATTTTCGTAATATCCGGTGACGAGAGAGTCTGTGCATTGGGGGTTGCTGAATACCAAATAGTTGGTCTCGGTAGCACCACAACAAGACTTAGGAATCTTGGCCGTAATCAAGGGGTTGTCTTTCCTCCACTGCGTATTATCAAAGTCGTTGCTGAGCAATGACACCGGGTGAACTCCACAACATTTAAGCTACAAAGATTCGAACACATGCCCATGAGTTAGTTAGCATAGGAACATAGATAAACATCAGTGTCAATGCTAATAGATATAAACATAAAAGCAGTGGACGGTCGAACACATTATTTATGGCATATTGCAATGTAAATCGAGGTAAGTACGTAGGTAATATTTGTATGCATAAACAATATACGCTTAAGTCTGAATTTAAATAATACATAATGGAAGTCAAAAAGAGGGCTTTTAACACAGATGGTCTCTTGATACATGTTCGATTAAGAATGAACTCGCTATAATGGAGAACATTAATAGTGATATTTGTATACAGGTAACGTATTAATATTGGTTCAATTAAAAAAATACAAAGATGGGAAACATTAAACGTGTGATTTTTTAAACACGACTGGTTTCTTAATAGAGATTGACGCATTAGTAGGTTTGGGTGTATTCATAGATATGACAGTTGAACAATATGAACACTTTATTTGGAAAATCACCGCGAAGAAGTAAAATTATCTCAAAATTAAATTTCAAACATATAAATGTTATGGATTTTTACACTTTTAATTTTGAAATTACTCTGTGAAATAGACCGAAAATGTATGCAGCAGTGCCTAAACAACGTACTTGTAAAGGCACAATAAACTAAAACATCAGCACATAAGGCTAATATACACTAAAGCATCCTCAAACAGTCGATTAAAATCCTAATTCAAAGTTGATTTGATTGGTTATAATTTGATTATACTAATAATAGTTGGAGGTTCTTAAATACCGCTTTATCACAACCTAGTTCGTAGGTCGTTTCAAAGCGGTTTATAAATTAATGTTCGTGGTTATAGGGCCTTTGCAACCAGCCAATATCTTTCCCAACTCCCTGAGGAGCATACATACCGTACTGCCATTTCGGCGCTCACAGCTAGCATTCACGTATCTTGCTCAAAGACACAACACAGTGCCATGCCGTAACTGGAACCCGCAACCCTTCGGTCACGAGCCCGGCATCCTACCGTGCCTCCAATATAGGTTTTAACGTCCTATCAATCTATTACTTTATTCTTAATTACAATGTAATGTTTTATATCACCACAAGAAAAGCTTTATAGGATATAAAAAATGTATATGTGGAATAAGGTTAGCTCCCCCTCGTTACACTCACCTGAATAAATAGGTAATTCCAGGCGGTCGATATCTTGGAGGAGGTTGTCGTGTTTATTGAAGTCAGCTCGTCGGCGATGTAATTATCGTGTAACTGCGCCAGCATCTGTTCCTGTACCTCGGTGTTGATCTTAAAACATAGGTTGTAAAGTATGTGTGCCACACCTCCCCGCCAAGACAGGGGTCATGCGCGGAAGTTTAAATATATATCATCATTACATTACTAAGCTAACCATCAATGTCATTACGATTTGAAGCCGATACTTTCTGATATGCAGTAAATTATACAGTAAAACTGCAATTATATATCGAATTTTTTATCGATAATCACTTTTTCTACAAAAACATATCTATAATTTTAAATCAACAGACATTTTCGACACATGTTCTATTAAATCAATTTAAGCAGAGAAATTATTAAACATTGATGTAATGCATAACAATTAGGTAAACAATGCATTATACTGTTAAAGAGAAAATTTTCGCGGTGTTGTAATTTTAGCGTTTTCACGTTGCACAATGTAGCGCGAAAATAACCACATGCCAATATTAATCTAAACATTATATAGATTCAATGTAAATAGAATATTTATATTTCAGAGCTATTTCCAACACGTTCATTTCCACGTCGCAATCAGTTTAAAGGAGCATGTCGCGTGTACGTTGTAATTCATAGTGATGAGGATGTAAAACAATTGAATCAAAGTTCACAGGAAAGAGTTATAATAACAAATATTGTTATTGTTTTGTGTTTTGGGGTTTCACGTCCTTGCAACAGACAGGGTCATATGAGGACGGGTGCCTAGGGAGACACAACAGACAGGGTCATATGAGGACGGGTACCTACGGTGACACAACAGACAGGGTCATATGAGGACGGGTACTTATGGAGACACAACAAACAGGGTCATATGAGCACGGGTACCTACGGAGACACAACAGACAGGGTCATATGTGGACGGGTGCCAACGGAGACACAACAGACAGGGTCATATGTGGACGGGTGCCAACGGAGACACAACAGACAGGGTCATATGAGGACGGGAACTTAGGGAGACACAACAAACCGGGCCATATGTGGACGGGTGCCTAGGAAGACACAACAAACAGGGGCATATGAGGACGGGTGCCTAGGGAGACACAACAAACAGGGTCATATGAGGACGGGTACCTACGGAGACACAACAGACAGGGTCATATGAGGACGGGTACTTAGGGAGACACAACAAACCGGGTCATATGTGGACGGGTGCCTAGGAAGACACAACAAACAGGGTCATATGAGGACGGGTGCTTAGGGAGACACAACAGACAGGGTCATATGAGGACGAGTGCCTAGGGAGACACAACAAACAGGATCATATGAGGACGGGTGTCTAAGGGGACACAACAAACAGGGTCATATGAGGACGGGTGCCTAGGGAGACACTATATGAAAAACGTGTTATGGATGACGTTCATTTGGTAATATAAAGTTGTGTAGAACTACCAATGTATGTCGTCTTTCTGGTACTATACAGTGATATGTGATATCATTGTACAAATATATAACGGATTAATATTGCACGTGCAAGAGACAAATAGAACACGGGTGGTACTTACTTTTTCCTTCATAGTGATGTAGAGACAGACAATCACCAATTGGGCAACCCACAGGACTAGAACCACCACAGCGTACTAAATAAACAACATCGCCATTGTTACATCACTACATACCTGTACCGTGTCGTTTTCCTAATTTCGGTAACTACATAATTATTTACTATGTATCACAAGAAATACATTGACTCGTTAGTAAGATTAATGTGTGTGTATACACAATAAGTTCTCCAGGTGGTCAAGGAAAATATTCTAATAAAGATTTCAATATCTTATTACTGAATATTGTTATTTTTTCAGAATTTCGGTCCTCGTAATATCTAATTATTTAATTATGTCCTTTTTCAGATTTTCATTCCAGTGTAATATCTAATAATTTAATATTGGGGGGTTTTCAGATTTTTAAGTCATCGAATAAATGAAATATTTAGTTATTGAATATTGTTCTTTTTTTCAAATTGAAGTCCTCGTAATAACTAATTATTGAATACTGTTCATTTTTTCTGAATATCGGTCCTAATTCCATTGCTATATCTTATTATCTAATATTGTTTTTTTTCAGATTGTTTAGTCATCGAAAAAATGTAATTTATAATTATTGAATACTGTTCTTTTTTTTCAGAATTTCGGTGCTTATTCCATTGTTATATCTTATTATCTAATATTGGTGGTTTTTTTCAGATTTTTAAGTCATCGAATAAATGTAATATATAATTATTGAATATTGTTCTTTTTTCAAATTTGAAGTCCTCGTAATATCTTAAGTCAAATGATAATTAGTGCCTGGAGTCAAATTGCAAAAAAGAGGAAAAATAAAAGATTGAATTTGAGAGTATAGGAATCAGACCGCATATCAGTTTCTTCAATGTCCTCAAAACATAAGAAACAAAAAAAAGACAAAAACTGATTTATACAGCACATTGGTCTCCTCTTTAGAAAGTTCCATCACCAAACTTGAAGGGGTTAACAATATTTAAATGTTGTGCTAATGACGTGTGACCTGTTAAGGTAGCACTGCTTCGAACAACTTTGTTTTCGTCGTCATTTTTTTTATATAAAACTTGTATAATAATGATAATCGTGAGATCTACTTTGACAACGTGAGTTTTATCCTTGAGTTCTCCAGTTTCAGCCAGCATAAAAACCCTGATCTGCGTGCTTCCATCTGAGCTACCAAGAGTAATTGACGTCAGTTGAAAAAAATGTTTCATAAGTTATTATTAATATTTCTTTTTTGTATCATGCTCTCCAATTTGGAGGAAATAAAGATGATATATCGTTCAGCAAAAATGTGTTTATTTATTGTTTTACTTACTATAATGAGTGCCATTCTCCATCCACAGCATGCTCCAAGAATTCCAATGAAAGCTATCAGAAACAGGAACGTGCCGACAATGATTAAGGCTATAGATAGACCTTGTGCTGCTCCGGCCAATGAGATCCCACCAAACGTCAATGTACTCATCAACGGGAGAACCTTCTCGCTGACAAAGTCCACATTCACATGGACCAGCACTCCGGGTATTATTAATGCAAGCCCAAGCAGCTACAATATACATATACACACCATCAATGATACATTCCTTTATGTTGTTCCTCATTCTCGAAATTCTACGGCGTACGCTCAGTAATTTTCGCTGCCCCCCTGAAATATTTTATGTCAAAATCGAAGGCATACGGTTAGCTTTTTGACTGTTTTAAAGTATCAAACCCTAACATATCACTATGAGCGATAGTCGACTTCAAAGACGGTCAATGTTACCGTTAAGCTGCAGCGTTATACTTTCAATGTACATGGCCAAACTAGTTATACATATTCAAGGGGGGGGGGGGGCAGTGAACGACAGAGGGCGTAACCCTTGGACTTCTGAAGATGGTAGTTTTCTCGACGTGATGAAGGTAAATCAGTTTCAGGTAAACAGTGTGGCTTGACTAATAAGAAACAAGGTCAGTGTGTAACGAAATGAGATGTAGCTTGTTAAATACAGAGTTGGCGTATCCTTCCAAAAAAAATATAATATTATATGTTTACAAAATTATTGAAATTCATAATAAAAATTACATGTTCAGAGATACTGAAATCGTCAATAGACAATAAATGCAAACATGATACAATTGTAAAAAATTACTCTGTGTTTATGAAAAATAGCAATTTGAAAAAACAGATACGTTGACCCTTTGTCTGTTAGGGTACTTAGGTTTCGGACATCACTTTACTATGTTAACATACTGCTAGGGTTAACTCACCATGAACACTATGTTTAGGACGATGAGGAAGATTTTCCCGAACTTCCCAGCACAGTTGAGTCTCATCCTCAGTGGCGTAAATGTGCACTTCCCCTACTGAGAAAAATCAGACAATAGTTACGTCTTCTGATCATATACTGAAAGGCGAATTCAAATTTCTTGAAAGTCACATCTTTACACAAAATGTCCAACGTTACATGAAAAAATTGTTACATTTTAAGGCGTAGAGTATATCAACTGTACATTTTAACTAAAGATGCTTTATAGAAAAATCAATTACAGGCGCTAAGTCTATTTCACAATGATATCTTAAACAGGTAAAAACGGGAGATGATTCTATGAACGATGGAGAAAAGGGCATTCCATAACTCCATTAGCCAGTGAATGTACAAAATTATATCAAACGGATAATTTTATATATGTACATTTGCACTGTGACAAAGAACTTTCTAAGAAAACCGCTTCCTGTCTCCTTGCTGATATTCCGTTTATAATATATAAACAATGTGTGTATACAGTCAAGTATGCTCGAGAAAATCGCCTCCATACAATGTACCAGTGTTTAAAAACATTAAATCTTTCAAATGTGTGAGGCTTCTACTGTAAACTACAAGATATTTATATAAGCATGTACGTATACAGTATTTACGTGTAAAATTACTCTAAAATAGTAAATATTGCAGGATCAATTTTTCTCGGCTTTTAGGTTAGGTAAGAAGCCTTATAAAATGTACAGTATAGTTAAGATAAATAAAATTCCTAGTTGTATTTTTGGCGGAAAATCGTAACCGCAAACGAAAATGTACATATTGGAACCCCACGAAAAAAACTAGCCTATTTTAGTATGTTAGAGCAAAATAAAATAAACTAATAAACCATAGCGTCAGTACAAAAGAGTAACGAAAAATAAAGTTTGGGCAGCAGGTAAATTTTGATTCGTTATCAATGTCTTCAGAACGAAAGCGGCGGAACTAAACATCCGATTTTGCGGTGGATCCCTCATTAGTCGCCTCTTACGATAACCGGCTGTGAAATATATACAGTAGGCAGTTTTCTTTTCCCAAACACAGAATTGGACAAAAATATTGATTGCCGAATGTACGGTGTCTAGACTTAACATAGTACAGAACAATCGGATTAATCAGCGTTGTGGTTAATAACACAAACTGATGACATCATAGGGCACTGGTGCTGTCGTAATACCAGTGGCAATTATTATTGTTATTTTGTAAACACAAATAGATATGTGAGTTTGGCATTTTCCTATTTCCGAATCATTACTGAACATGTCCTTAGCTTAAACAGTGTACAATGTTCGTGTTCTTTCAAATGATAATGAATTTAAGATAAACTACAAAAATCCGTCAAAAAATAAAACTGTATATATATGTGTTCCGCCGCGTATAATGTTTACTGCCAGAATGTGATCTCTTCTGAGACATTTACTGTAATAGCATGACTAGTATAACAATATAGTGTTTGAGCATGTGCATCCGTACGTGTACGAGCGTAACAGCGTCTGTCCGTCCATTCGTCCATTGGTGTGTGAGTGCAAGTGTGCGTGAACTTCAATACCAAAACGTAAAACACTCATTTTTAATCTTATGTGTCATACATTAAATGTTAAATGTTTCAATTTCAATTTCCACCACGTGTAAAAATGTTAAAAATTGTTAAACTTCATCTTATTCAAATATTGTAGTTAAGGTGTCAACAGTCTCGAAGAATGATTTGCCTGTAATATATACTTGGGAAGGGAATAAATATAAGCTCAAAGCTTGTATTCCAATCCCTGTGTAATTATGTGTATGTAATTAACATGTTCTAATATTGAATAAATACTGTTTAAACTACCAATGATTGAAGCCTTGGTATCTTGTAAAAAAATAAAAAATAAAATTACCTGTTATTGCAGTTTCCTCTTCTGAAATAATTCTTCCCGACAGTTACAAATAGATCTGAAGCATTTGAAAATCAACTGAATTATAACGCTATACGTTTTGTACATATTCGGAAGTCTGCTTTCTCTCAAAAACAGGAAATTGTACAGGAAGTTCCGGCAAGTAGCATCATGTCCGGATTCTCATTTTCATTTGAATGTGGGGATAAATGCTGTGTATATATGGATTAATTAACAAGACGGTGTTTATATGTCTGCTTTTGTATATAACACACATACATGATTATTAACACCACGCTTAGTTACGCTTGCCTTGTGATTAATATCTTTCTAAAATCCGGAAACTTGCTACCATGACAAATGTTTCCGTGTTGAAACTTTTATACGACGTGGTTAAAGATGCAATACTGTGTCGAAATACGAACTAAAAAATCATTGTATCCGGTTGGTCGCGATGCGGAGTAATAATAACTCAAACGTATCATAGTTGTGCTCGCTTTCGGAGGGTTCTTGTCTGCTGAAGACAAAACTCTAGAGAATCCCACGTGCTGTATATTTCTCTCATACATAGGGCGACCTCTCTTTAGCTTCGTTTGTGGAATTATCTGTCTCGCGACATGGCAAGCGTTCTACCGTTTACTATAGGTATAACTCAGTTAGTTATAGCGAAAGTGTAATGGTCAGAGGTTCAGGGTTCGAATCCGGGTCTGAACGCGTAGCATTTTGAGAATGCCGTCATAACATTGTTGTTGATTTTATTTCATTGCAAGTTTGTTACATTCATTTTGATGATGTTTCCATAAATGCTCCTCTAGGCATATATTTTTCATTGTTTTTATATAAATGATTCAATAATGTTATTGTCATCTCTGTGAAATAAGTTCCCGGTTCTTTGTTACAGTGTCATAGCGTTACTTGATTGCAAAAACGTCATAACTTATACAGTATTCCTGATGTATAGATAAGTAATGTCATTTCCTCCTCCTTATCCATAATCTCTGTGTATCTTTGTAGGTTTGTGAAAGGTGACAGATATGACTCATCAGCATCATAAGAGCATTTTATTTCTGACCGCTAATTAGAGAATCAATAGTGATGTACTAACTCCTTAGCAATATTTGACATTTGGACCTTTAACATTTTTGTTGATATGGTTATAATGTTGTTTCCCTTGACAACCGTTGTTTTACGAAGTATTGAAACCTTGAATTATCCAATGACAAAAGGGGCATCGGTGGCCAAGTGGTTAAGGCGTCTGACATTCTGTTACCACTAGCCCTCCACCACTGGGTCGTGGGTTCGAACTACGTGGGACAGTCGCCCGGTACTGGCTGCAGGTCGGTGCTAATTCTCCGGGAACTCCGGCTTTCCTCCACCACCAAAACCTGGCACGTCCTTAAATGACCATAGCTGTTAATAGGACGTAAAACACAAACAAACCAAACAAAAGTCCAATGGTAAGTACGTTGAAGAACCAGTGTAGCACTTCCAAAAACTGTAACTTTGTTTTGGAAACCGATTTTTTTCTGGCTTGATTTTATTATTGATAAATCGTTTCTGAGACAAAAACGTATCATGCGGGTCTTTATGAATACAAATCAGATGAAATAAACACAATAAGATCAAGAACAGTATTCTGGGTGCAAAAATAATGGCGGGCTAGACTGGGATTCGAACTCTGGGTTTCACATTATTATACTGTTATATTAACAAATTGAGCTACGGTATTTCTTTGGCCACAATGTACTATAGTAATATTGAAAACGAAATTACCGGGGAGTTCATGAATATGTTCGAAACACTACAGTGCAGCGGGCCAGGGATACATAGACATTATTCTGTGCAATTCAAACAAACTTTATTCGAGTAGCCTCCCCTCTCATAATAACTGACGCTGTGTAGTTTTATTTGAGAGAACTTACATCAATCTGATTAAAATCACATGTTACATGGCTTCGTTTGATTTTAATCAGATTGAACTTACATAAGCCTAGCCTTTTGATTTGCAAATACTACTATGGCTGGAAAAATATGCTATGCTGAGACATGAATACAGTATACAACATGTTTACATAAATGCATTTAATTAATCAAACCTCAATAAAAAAAACATCCGAAATGAACTATTCACACAATTTTAGAAAGGTATACTATTTTATTTCAGGGTTCACACATGGATTAAATTATATTATAAAAATCGTCTATCAAATCAGCCACTTATATTAATGTATTTATGATATATACCATAGTAAGTTACATGGGATTGTTGAAAACCCGTAAATGAGGCATGACCCATGAATATGGCTTTAAATGAAATAAGTATTGTTATGATAATGAAGTGTGATACGGTCAGACCCTGAAACAATAGAAAGGTTTGTGGAATTATATCTATCATTTCAAATTAACCGTATTTCGAATCTAGGTCAAAACGGCCGCAGTGTAAAAACGGCCCTAGATAAAACGGCCCTACTGTATAAACGGCCCTAGTTGAAACGGCCCTACTTTTTAAATCGTGATATACAACAGTAAGATTATGTCTTCTTATCTTTTATATAAAATCATCCTATCTTACCATGCACGGTCATGTATCAATTGGGTATTTCTGTGATTGACATTTATATATATTTCATATCACTTACCGGTACCACACGTTCTTTGCTGCCATCTACTACAGCCATCGCACTGCAGTGTATGCTGTGCAGGTCGGATAACACTGTCGCACTCTAAACGTTTCGTCAATGCTGGTCTCATGGTTGAAAGTCTTATTCAAATTCAAATGATATTTTAAGATTTTGCTATACATTCGTCCAATTTATTACACCCTCTGACCAATCCCGTTAATTGTTGTTTTAATTGAGCCACTCCGATGTACTCTGTTAAAACAACAAAGACCCTCCTCCCGTATCTAATTTATTATTAGTTAATATTGTAACTAATTGTTTTTCAAATGCTATTCAATAAATTTTTTTAATTTATTCTTTTCTCTAAATAATTAAATTAAATTAAACACTGAAGTAGAAAACACTATTGCAAAGGTATTTGAGACTGAGGAGGGTCAACTATCAATGAAAACACAAACACAATTATAATGTTTTTATCTGTACATGTACATATCTTTATTTCTTGAAAGTGCATGTAACTTTATTAACATAATATCAAGTTATGTACCTGTATTACGGACTTGTAGTACTTGCAGTACTATACAGTATATACTATATATAGAGTACATTTAGGTTTTAACGCCCTACGCGCTACCATTTTGGCCAACAAGAATGATTAATGTAAGTTGATGATATTTGTTAAAATTGTCGTAAAACAAATCAAGCGAAGTAATAACAGTTTTAATTTAATTATATTTCGATCGGGAGATGATAATAATGAAAATGAAAAACTTAATGAAAAACCCATAAAAGTTGAATAAATTATAAAGCTTAATGACACTCTAATAGTACCCCGAATCATAAAGTGCTTGACACGACATCCAATGTCGCTGAATACGTCATAACTGCAGAAAGCCTTTTCTGAGCATCTGTCAGTGACGGGAATTTTCCGATATCTTCATCGTCATTGTCAATTCCGTCTTTGCGTATTGCAGAGTTATCTTCTCTTGGGAACAGGTATTGATTGTTACGTCATTGGTCTGTGTGAGAAAATTACGTCGTTTTCTCAAAAATTGATGACGTTGCTCTCATAAACAAGTGACGTAACAATCACTACCTGCGCCCAAGAGAAGATAACTCTGCAATACGCAAAGACGGAATAACACTTTAAGTCTGCGTTTCAAATTATCTTTAATTATGCCATTACTTTCACTTTCTGTAAGCACATCCCGGCAACACAAATCGAAATTAACAGACAATTACTAGAAGTCGTCAAAGGGCGCGTCAATTTTTAACCCCTTTACCCCTAGGTATCTTTAGTAGAGTCGACCATACATTTATGGGGATGAGTCCATTATGGTCTAACGTGGTGAAAGGGTTAACAAAAAAAAATCATTCGCGTTACATCTGTAGTACGCTTGTAAATAGAAACACGACATTTGTTATAAAGAACCACGAAGCAGTCTTAGCCAGAAGTCCGAACGTGAAAAATAGAATAACTACCTATGTTCTTTGTGTATTTACATTTGTAATAATCACATTTTATGTCGAAATATAAAATTAGACAACATTCTTTAGAAGTCCCGGTGCTTTGGGCACATTTCTTTTAACATTTTAATGTGATCAAGGTTTCAACCAGCTGTCAGGGTATAGTTTTTCTTTTCTTTGTATTGTGAGTAAAACTTCTTTTTTTTTGAATTAATTGAATTAAAACAAAAGCAAGAACAATTTGGTGAAGACTATATCCAAACTGTTGAAATTTCTTAAAAATCTTCGTTATTGAAAATATTTCATTTTAAGGTATATGTTCAAATTTATGTCATATTGCAAATTATCGTTTCTTACTAAAACAACATTAAAACATCTGGGACTACAAAAACACTAGTGGAAGCATAATTGAGTGGAGGGGATACATGAGCCCCATTTTCCATTTGACTCCTTGCGCGGTAAAATTTATGAGATATCAAAAATAAGTTGTATGACCATCTAGTTCTTTTGTTAACTTGGCATGTATGTACCTATAGGTGGAAACTTCAAATGAAAGACTGAAAGTATGTTTAATATTGACTAATTTCGAAGAAGTTGCCACAAGTTGAACGCTGATATTGTTTCATTTGTTTCCTGTCCAACGATGCTTGCCAAACATCCCTTGTGTTTCTGATTTATCTTCACCTTCAGAAAATTTCCGACAGAATTCTTGTTTTCTTCCGTTTTGTTTCAGTTGCATTTGACTAAAGTTCTTGTCAAATTTTAAAACATCAATGTCCCTTGTCTCTACGCAACTTTTACAGATCATCTGGCAGGTCTAAGTACTCACGTATAAGAAGTCAACTATGATATCCAAGGGTTTCATTCAATTTCAATTTCAACAGATTTTATTGACTTTATATATGTTAAGTGGATTGGACATCAGGCTAGGCCTATTTTAATCCTTTTCGAGCTTATTTACAAACATTTCATATATTATGTCATAACAATAAAAAAAACAGTGTGGGGGAGATAACTCCAGCTTAGCTTGTGAAATAAAAACTTTTAAACAATTATTCAACCATTTTCTGTTGATGTTCAGGATATTAACAACTAAATATATCATGTATATTTGTTGACAACCCATCCTTCGTAAAATCTAAGGGATACAGGCCCAAAAGTCCCTGTGTATAAACACATTGGCCATCCACCCACAGGATATATAGGATCAGTTATCAAGAAATACACATTATAAAAAAAATCAGAATATGATATGGATTCATATGGGAAAATGTAGACTCTACATTCTTTGAATATGTCATGACAAAATAGACAGCACGCAATAAGCTATTCAATTGGACTCGTGTATATTCCGTCTTTTCGTATTGCAGAGTTATCTGCTCTTGTGAGCAGGTATTGATTGCTACGTCATTAGTTTGTGTGAGAAAATTACGTCGTTTCCTCAAAAAAATGACGTAACAATCAATAACCGGCTCACAAGAGCAGATAACTCTGCAATACGAAAAGACGGAATATGAAGACCAATCGCGGATACTTTTGTTTTAGAGATTACAGAGGTGTGTGGTAGGACTTCGACGTCGGTACATTTCACTGTTATGCAGCCGCGCAATTCTTTTGATAAACATCCGCAAGTTGGATCGTGTAGAACCTTCAGTTTATCATATCATACTCCAATGGTGCTGAGAAGAGATGTCGTCTGGGCGAAAGCCTTGGATTTGAAGATGAAAAAAAAGCGTTTGAAAAATAACATAAATTTGACATTTCTTATTTACTTGTGGTTCATACCATATCCTTGGAGACGTGTTAGAATACTCGCTATATTTCCAAGTAGTATGTCTTCTTAAATCCAAAAGTTACAGGTTACAAATACAAAACGCCGGGTTTCACTGGAATTTAAGCACATGCACTCTTGACTTCAGGTTAGTTGGGTGTTGTAATTTAGCCATTAACGATTCGCTTTTTCATTCCCAATTCCTCGCTCTATAGGATGGAACAACAAAGGTTGAACGCGAAAAACACCATCAAAAGCTGTTAAAAAAAAGAAAAATGTATATATATAATATGTTAATGATCAACGTATCACTGCCAAAACTGTTATAACGAATATGAAACGGTTTTTTTTTTGTTTTTTTTTGCTGTTTTTGTTGGTATGGCAATAGCTTTGATAAATTCTTTCTGAAAAGAAAACCATTCCTTTAGGGACTTTTTATGAAAAGAAATGAAGGCGAAATAAACACATATAATCAACAACACTATTATTATTTGGTCAACGGAAGTTTCCTGGCCACAAAGTGCTTCACGAGATAGCATGTACCTACCAGTACAGATTGGTTTCAGGTTAAAAACAAACAAGAAATAAATTATAAATGAACAATTTTAGGCTGATACATGCCCTTTGTAGATTACAGTGGAGCGACATATGAGTTTCAAATCATGTCAATTTTACCGTTTTGATTCCGCGTGATTCTTCTATGTTAATCAAAGCACACGTTTAGTCTACTTGTATCATCCAATTTGTTGTGCGTTTACAGCCTTTGATTATGTCATGGCATACTCGAGGGATGCAGAGATTGTGATAAAAGGAAAGATAAAATACTTCAGTTGAACCAGTTTGAACGCTCATGATGTGAGATAAATTACAGATGAAAAATACAGGAACTTTTGATATTGCCATATTGTTTGCATGGGAAAAGTATTATTTCTTCCTGTGATATTGATAGTCATTATTTATATAACGGCCACTAACTTTAAAGTGTAGCATAATGATTCGTTGTTGCTGCCCCGGTTCATGCTTAGATGTGCTGACATTACATGGATTTGACCTAGTTTACAATGCGTTTGATGAAGAAAAAGACGGTTACCATTATGAGGTTACCCGTTTTATTTTCATTTTATTCTTGCTAGGATCTCCAGATAATTGTTTTACCTTTTATCCTGTTTGTCTCTTAGTTTTGTTGGATATAAGCTCGGATTAATGTTTATTGTTTACATTTCTAGGTATAACATGTATCTTGAGATTTTATATGCTTTTAGCAAAAAGACATGTTGTGTTACTGACCTGCAGCAGAAGAGCAATGAGAAGGATGTATCCCATCGAATCCAAAAGGCTTCCAAAACTGGACATGATTGCGTCATAGCAGCCCTGAAATGAAATACAAAAATACATTGAAAAAAAATACTTCAATGAGTCATGTACGACCATTGAACATTGAACACTATTTATACAATTTTATAACCAATTACCATATAAGAAAGCATTATCAAAAGCAAAATTTGAAAGTTATGTTTTTATATTGATATTTTTAAAATCTGGCTGTACCAGCTACAAATAATTGTATTTTTCTGTCATTATGCAACACTTCTTTGGGTCCTTTATTTTTCCAGATTTGCATTTACAATTTTCACAAGATCTAATTTTCGTAGATTTTAGATGTGACCACAAGAGAAGAAAATTAAGAAAAGAATTATCTTATACCTGCTTATCTCGCAGGTTTTATTTTTTCGCTAAAACATGTCACCTTATTACAATATGAAAATCGCAATCTCGCGAAACAAATGAACAAATTCTAAACAAAAAATGCCTATTAGGTTTTCGCTTTTTTTTTTATTAAAGTATGTTTTATTTTATCAAATCAAAAACTAAAACTAACAGTCATGTGTTAATATTTGAATACCTATTGGACTATTTGTTGCAAATTCAACGATGACATTCCAGAGGAATTTTTAAAAGATTTTTGAAACATAGAAATGATCCCTTAAGTGTCCAAAAAGCTACATGAGCTGTCCAGTAAGATATACTAACTGTCCAATGAGTTATACCAACTGTCCAGTAAGTTATACCAACTGTCCAATGAGTTATACCAACTGTCCAGTAAGTTATACCAACTGTCCAATGAGTTATACCAACTGTCCAGTAAGTTATACCAACTGTCCAATGAGTTATACCAACTGTCCAATAAGTTATACCAACTGTCCAGTAAGTTATACCAACTGTCCAATGAGTTATACCAACTGTCCAGTAAGTTATACCAACTGTCCAATGAGTTATACCAACTGTCCAATGAGTTATACCAACTGTCCAGTAAGTTATACCAACTGTCCAATGAGTTATACCAACTGTCCAGTAAGTTATACCAACTGTCCAATGAGTTATACCAACTGTCCAATGAGTTATACCAACTGTCCAGTAAGTTATACCAACTGTCCAATGAGTTATACCAACTGTCCAGTAAGTTATACCAACTGTCCAGTAAGTTATACCAACTGTCCAATGAGTTATACCAACTGTCCAGTAAGTTATACCAACTGTCCAATGAGTTATACCAACTGTCCAATGAGTTATACCAACTGTCCAGTAAGTTATACCAACTGTCCAATGAGTTATACCAACTGTCCAGTAAGTTATACCAACTGTCCAATGAGTTATACCAACTGTCCAATGAGTTATACCAACTGTCCAGTAAGTTATACCAACTGTCCAATGAGTTATACCAACTGTCCAGTAAGTTATACCAACTGTCCAATGAGTTATACCAACTGTCCAATGAGTTATACCAACTGTCCAGTAAGTTATACCAACTGTCCAATGAGTTATACCAACTGTCCAGTAAGTTATACCAACTGTCCAATGAGTTATACCAACTGTCCAATGAGTTATACCAACTGTCCAGTAAGTTATACCAACTGTCCAATGAGTTATACCAACTGTCCAATAAGTTATACCAACTGTCCAGTAAGTTATACCAACTGTCCAATGAGTTATACCAACTGTCCAATAAGTTATACCAACTGTCCAGTAAGTTATACCAACTGTCCAATGAGTTATACCAACTGTCCAGTAAGTTATACCAACTGTCCAATGAGTTATACCAACTGTCCAATGAGTTATACCAACTGTCCAGTAAGTTATACCAACTGTCCAATGAGTTATACCAACTGTCCAATAAGTTATACCAACTGTCCAGTAAGTTATACCAACTGTCCAATGAGTTATACCAACTGTCCAGTAAGTTATACCAACTGTCCAATGAGTTATACCAACTGTCCAATGAGTTATACCAACTGTCCAGTAAGTTATACCAACTGTCCAATGAGTTATACCAACTGTCCAGTAAGTTATACCAACTGTCCAGTAAGTTATACCAACTGTCCAATGAGTTATACCAACTGTCCAGTAAGTTATACCAACTGTCCAATGAGTTATACCAACTGTCCAATGAGTTATACCAACTGTCCAGTAAGTTATACCAACTGTCCAATGAGTTATACCAACTGTCCAGTAAGTTATACCAACTGTCCAGTAAGTTATACCAACTGTCCAATGAGTTATACCAACTGTCCAGTAAGTTATACCAACTGTCCAATGAGTTATACCAACTGTCCAATGAGTTATACCAACTGTCCAGTAAGTTATACCAACTGTCCAATGAGTTATACCAACTGTCCAGTAAGTTATACCAACTGTCCAATGAGTTATACCAACTGTCCAATGAGTTATACCAACTGTCCAGTAAGTTATACCAACTGTCCAATGAGTTATACCAACTGTCCAATAAGTTATACCAACTGTCCAGTAAGTTATACCAACTGTCCAATGAGTTATACCAACTGTCCAGTAAGTTATACCAACTGTCCAATGAGTTATACCAACTGTCCAATGAGTTATACCAACTGTCCAGTAAGTTATACCAACTGTCCAATGAGTTATACCAACTGTCCAATAAGTTATACCAACTGTCCAGTAAGTTATACCAACTGTCCAATGAGTTATACCAACTGTCCAGTAAGTTATACCAACTGTCCAATGAGTTATACCAACTGTCCAATGAGTTATACCAACTGTCCAGTAAGTTATACCAACTGTCCAATGAGTTATACCAACTGTCCAGTAAGTTATACCAACTGTCCAGTAAGTTATACCAACTGTCCAATGAGTTATACCAACTGTCCAGTAAGTTATACCAACTGTCCAATGAGTTATACCAACTGTCCAATGAGTTATACCAACTGTCCAGTAAGTTATACCAACTGTCCAATGAGTTATACCAACTGTCCAGTAAGTTATACCAACTGTCCAGTAAGTTATACCAACTGTCCAATGAGTTATACCAACTGTCCAGTAAGTTATACCAACTGTCCAATGAGTTATACCAACTGTCCAATGAGTTATACCAACTGTCCAGTAAGTTATACCAACTGTCCAATGAGTTATACCAACTGTCCAGTAAGTTATACCAACTGTCCAGTAAGTTATACCAACTGTCCAATGAGTTATACCAACTGTCCAGTAAGTTATACCAACTGTCCAATGAGTTATACCAACTGTCCAATGAGTTATACCAACTGTCCAGTAAGTTATACCAACTGTCCAATGAGTTATACCAACTGTCCAGTAAGTTATACCAACTGTCCAGTAAGTTATACCAACTGTCCAATGAGTTATACCAACTGTCCAGTAAGTTATACCAACTGTCCAATGAGTTATACCAACTGTCCAATGAGTTATACCAACTGTCCAGTAAGTTATACCAACTGTCCAATGAGTTATACCAACTGTCCAGTAAGTTATACCAACTGTCCAGTAAGTTATACCAACTGTCCAATGAGTTATACCAACTGTCCAGTAAGTTATACCAACTGTCCAGTAAGTTATACCAACTGTCCAATGAGTTATACCAACTGTCCAGTAAGTTATACCAACTGTCCAGTAAGTTATACCAACTGTCCAATGAGTTATACCAACTGTCCAGTAAGTTATACCAACTGTCCAGTAAGTTATACCAACTGTCCAATGAGTTATACCAACTGTCCAGTAAGTTATACCAACTGTCCAGTAAGTTATACCAACTGTCCAATGAGTTATACCAACTGTCCAGTAAGTTATACCAACTGTCCAGTAAGTTATACCAACTGTCCAATGAGTTATACCAACTGTCCAGTAAGTTATACCAACTGTCCAGTAAGTTATACCAACTGTCCAATGAGTTATACCAACTGTCCAGTAAGTTATACCAACTGTCCAGTAAGTTATACCAACTGTCCAATGAGTTATACCAACTGTCCAGTAAGTTATACCAACTGTCCAGTAAGTTATACCAACTGTCCAATGAGTTATACCAACTGTCCAGTAAGTTATACCAACTGTCCAGTAAGTTATACCAACTGTCCAATGAGTTATACCAACTGTCCAGTAAGTTATACCAACTGTCCAGTAAGTTATACCAACTGTCCAATGAGTTATACCAACTGTCCAGTAAGTTATACCAACTGTCCAGTAAGTTATACCAACTGTCCAATGAGTTATACCAACTGTCCAGTAAGTTATACCAACTGTCCAGTAAGTTATACCAACTGTCCAATGAGTTATACCAACTGTCCAGTAAGTTATACCAACTGTCCAGTAAGTTATACCAACTGTCCAATGAGTTATACCAACTGTCCAGTAAGTTATACCAACTGTCCAGTAAGTTATACCAACTGTCCAATGAGTTATACCAACTGTCCAGTAAGTTATACCAACTGTCCAGTAAGTTATACCAACTGTCCAATGAGTTATACCAACTGTCCAGTAAGTTATACCAACTGTCCAGTAAGTTATACCAACTGTCCAATGAGTTATACCAACTGTCCAGTAAGTTATACCAACTGTCCAATGAGTTATACCAACTGTCCAATAAGTTATACCAACTGTCCAATAAGTTACACCAACTGTCCAATAGGTTACACCAAATGTCCAATAAGTTACACCAAATGTCCAATAAGTTACACCAAATGTCAATTAAGTTACACCAACTGTTCAATAAGTTACACCAACTGTCCAATAAGTAACACCAACTGTCCAATAAGTTACACCAACCGTCCAATAAGTTACACCAACTGTCAATTAAGTTACACCAACTGTCCAATAAGTTACACCAACTGTCCAATAAGTTACACCAACTTTCCAATAAGTTACACCAACTGCCCAATAAGTTACACTAACTGTCAATTAAGTTACACCAACTGTCAATTTAGTTACACCAACTGTCCAATAGGTTACACCAACTGTCCAATAAGTTATACCAACTGTCCAATAAGTTACACAAACTGTCCAATAGGTTACACCAAATGTCCAATAAGTTACACCAAATGTCCAATACGTTACACCAACTGACAATTAAGTTACACCAACTGCCCAATAAGTTACACCAACTGTCCAATTAGTTACACCAACTGTCCAATAAGTTACACCAACTGCCCAATAAGTTACACAAACTGTCCAATAAGTAACACCAACTGCTCAATTAGTTACACCAACTGCCATATAAGTAATACCAACTGTCAATTAAGTTACACCAACTGTCCAATATGTTACACCAACTGTCCAATAAGTGATACCAACTGCCCAATAAGTTATACCAACTGTCAATTAAGTTACACCAACTGCCCAAAAAGTTACACCAACTGTCCAATAAGTAACACCAACTGCCCAATAAGTTACACCAACTGTCCAATAAGTAACACCAACTGCCCAATTAGTTACACCAACTGCCATATAAGTAACACAAACTGTCAATCAAGTTACAACAACTGTCCAATAAATTACACCAACTGTCCAATATGTTACACCAACTGCCCAATAAGTGATACCACCTGTCAATTAAGTTACACCAACTGCCCAATAAGTTACACCAACTGTTCAATAAGTAGCACCAACTGCCCAATTAGTTACACCAACTGCCATATAAGTAACACCAACTGTCGATCAAGTTATACCAACTGTCATATAAGTTACACCAACTGAAAATTATGTAACAACAACTGCCCAATAAGTAACAACAACTGTCCAATAGGTTACACCAACTGCCCAATAAGTTATACCAACTGCCCAATTAGTTACACCAACTGCCATATAAGTAACACCAACTGTCCAATAAGTAACACCAACTGTCCAATAAGTTATACCAACTGCCCAATTAGTTACACCAACTTCCATATAAGTAACACCAACTGTCAATTATGTAACACCAACTACCCAATAAGTTACACCAACTGTCCAATAAGTTATACCAACTGCCCAATTAGTTACACCAACTGCCATATAAGTAACATCAACTGTCAATTAAGTTACACCAACTGCCATATAAGTAACACCAACTGTCCAATAAGTAACACCAACTGCCCAAAACGTTACACCAGCTGTCCAATATGTTACACCAACTGTCCAATAAGTAACACCAACAGTCCAATAAGTAACACCAACTGTCCAATAAGTAACACCAACTGTCCAATAAGTAACACCAACTGCCCAATAAGTTACACCAACTGCCATATAAGTAACACCAACTGTCAATTAAGTTATACCAACTGCCATATAATAAACACCTACTGTCTATTATGTCACACCCACTGCCCAATAAGTTACAACAACTGTCCAATAGGTTACACCAACTGTCCAATAAGTAACACCAACTCTTCAATAAGTTATACCAACTGCCCAATTAGTTACACCAACTGCCATATAAGTAACACCAACTGTCAATTAAGTTACACCAACTGTCTAATATGTTACACCAACTGTCCAATTAGTTACACCAACTGTCCAATAAGTTACACCAACTTTCCAATAAGTTACACCAATTGTCCAATTAAGTTATACCAACTGTCAATTAAGTTACACCAACTGCACAATTAAGTAACACCAACTGTCAATTAATTTACAACAGCTGTCCAATAGGTTACACCAACTGTCAAATAAGTTACACCAACTGTCCAATAGGTTACACCAACTGTATAATAAGTTACAACAACTGTCCAATAAGTTACACCAACTGTCCAATTAAGTGATACCAACTGCCCAATAAGTTACACCAACTATCCAATATGTAACAAAAACTGTCCAATATGTATCACCAACTGTCCAATAAATTACTCCAACTGTCCAATAAGTTACACCAACTGTCAATTAATTTACAACAGCTGTCCAATAGGTTACACCAACTGTCAAATAAGTTACACCAACTGTCCAATAGGTTACACCAACTGTATAATAAGTTACAACAACTGTCCAATAAGTTACACCAACTGTCCAATTAAGTGATACCAACTGCCCAATAAATTACACCAACTGTCCAATATGTAACACAAACTGTCCAATATGTATCACCAACTGTCCAATAAATTACTCCAACTGTCCAATAAGTTACACCAACTGTCAATTAATTTACAACAGTTGTCCAATATGTTACACCAACTGTCTAATAAGTTACACCAACTGTCCAATAGGTTACATCAACTGTCTAATAAGTTACATCAACTGCCCAATAAGTTACACCAACTATCCAATAAGTAACATCAATTGTCCAATAAGCTTCACCAACTGCCCAATAAGTTATACCAACTGTCCAATAAATTACACCAACTGTCCAATAAGTTACACCAACTGCCCAATTAGTTACACCAACTGTCCAATTAAGTTATAGCAACTGTCCAATAAGTTATACTAACTTCCCAATAAGAAACACCAACAGCCCAATAAGTTACACCAACTATCCAATAAGTTACACCAACTGTACAATAAGTTAACCAACTGTCTTATTATTGCTTCCTTCTTTGAGCAGCTGTTAAATCACATAAGATAAAATATGGTTAGAGCCAAACGAAAGTAATTCAGCGATATTACTAAATCAAATGTAACAAACACAGTTTGGACAATTTATATCCATGTCAAAAAGTGCTTAAAGAAAACTAGCTGATACAGTCCACGAATACATGTAACAGCTACACTTACAGTTGACCAATATGTGCCGCTAGCTACAGTTGTTGTACACGCTGCATTTGAGTAGCTGGAGTATGTGCTCTCGGTAACACCGATACAGCATCCTTTAGGTAGCTCTAGGGCCGACCCAGTTCCGCTCCGCCAGGGGGTGCCGTCGAAGTCGTTACTTGTCGAGGTTACCGGATTCACACCACAGCACTCCATCTATAAAAACAAAGTGATATAAATTATTAGATACATATGACTGGCGCCTCCAAGTTACATCAGTATTCGTTAATCCGTCTTTTCCTTGAAGATCAATACTGAATCTCACGCTGACCTGTCTTTTCTGTCCTTGACCAGTATTTGGATATCTAAATGGTAGGCATCAGCGTTAGTCGTATGTTTATTTCTTTCATGGCCGTTTTTAGAAGGTGAGGCAGGGATTGTGCATTGAATATTTGAATTGATCGTAATTAACTATTATTTCCAATTTTCCTCGATAAATGGTATCTTTGATGTGTTCCATTACCATTTTATTCAACTGTTCTGATAACATTTGTTGGATCAAAATCGTGAAAGTGCTCTATTTATATAGTATACTTGTGTCACCTTGCACACACTTTGAACAGATGATAACCGGTTTGACGAGTAATCCGCTTTTTATACCTAGCGTGACCCATACTCGTTACCAAGCAGGTACATTCTAAAATATCGACGCTTCCTCCTTAGATACGACAGCCGGAAGAGATTGTCACTGGGGAAGATCTCAAAACGAGGAAAAACATTAAACTTTTTTTTTTAAATCTCATTTTTTATCTTTTCACTTGCGTTGTCAAGCTTTGATATTATACCTACATTTATACATAGAGAATAATACATGCCTTTTTCCATATCACACCCAGTATCAACCCGAGACTGCAATATTAGACAAAACAAGCACAAAGTTATGACGTCGTTTACCGCAGTGTTTGGCGCGGTATTTGTAATTCTAAGTTCTGATTGGTTGAAGTTGCTCGGCAACGGAATTATAGCGCAATGTTGAGTTCTGCGCAAAATTATTTTGTTTTTATCAGAAATTAACAGTTATTCATCAATTACGAACTAAAATTGTTTTCTATATTTATTAAAAACCATTAAGTAGTAATAACCTTAACTATTTAGGGGTTATACGATGAACAATTTATTGGGCATACCCGAAAACAGTGTGAACATTTCGCGCTCACGGATTATTGCAAATGAACAGGATTTGAACCATTTATCCCGAAGAAAATAACGGTTATTCATTCAATGGTATATTCCTTCCAAGGTGTGCTTTTTGTTCAAAGGACACCTGTGTCCATATACATTAAACCGAGTTTTTCAAAGCAATACAGACTGAGCGATTTCTAATAAATACACCCTACAGACTAATATGTAAAAAGTAAATTCTTTACAATATTCTTCTTGAAGAATATGGTCTTTTCCAAAATTGAGGTATAACACTTATTCAACATAGGCGATTTATCACAAATAATTTCATAGTTTTTTTTACCAGGAAACTACTCATTCGAAAAGGGTTTTAAAGATTCTCCATGTTTGTCCGCCTGAGTGACAAAAATGAAATGTCTATAGAAACTGAAGTCCTAATTCAAAAGCTGAAAAGCTGAAGAAAAAAAAAAGTACATGCAGACTTTGAAAAAGATCAATGAGTATTAGACTAAGTGCTCCGGTAAGGTGAGCGTCTTCGGCTCCATTGACTACAACCGACATCCAAATAAAGGTAAAATCCAAATTAATGGCAGGTACTCAAAACGAGAACCGCGGGGGTAAAACAAGTGCACATATGAGCATAATAAATACATGTTTGGAAACTCTAACTTTACCGTCATAAACATGTAGTTGAAAGATGAAGACACTTCATCACTTTTGTCCAAGCTGTCTAGTGTGTAACCGTCCCGTAGCTGGCTCAGGAACGCATCCTTTATTGTGTCAGTCAACTAAAACAGAAAATGAAAAAATATAACTTTAAGCGACATTTATGGAATCTTAGTACCAATATGTGGGCTTACAATTTTACAAACGAATACAATCTCAGCAACAAGCTTTGATGGGGAAGTGAACTATAAGAATTCAATAAGCTTTCTATTGTTCACTTTATGGCGTAATTCTGTCGAATCCCCACCTAAGGATGTAAATTGACAGTAAACATCATTTTCATAGTTTGTGTCATGATGTCATTATAATAAATTGTCATCTTATAATGGCCTTATACAATTCTATACATGTGTTGAGTTTTATGTGGAGTAGGCATAAATGCAAGTTATATACATGGCTGATTTTATGTCGCGACACATGTACATAAACCCTGCATTAGACTGTTTGACAAGTATTGTTAAAAGATTGCTACAAACATAGCCCCCTAAGGGTGCCGCTCTCCCCTTCTTGGTGCCTCCATTGTTTTGAGGTTTCTGATTGGCTGACATCCCACGCTACAATCTGATTGGCTGTAGGCCTCTTCCTTCATATTTAAGAAAATTTTCAACGGCGCCATTTTGTGGCAGCTTCTTTTAAGAAATTTATACCAAATTTGCCTTATTGAAAAACCCACCCTTACATACCACCCTTTTTAATATTGCTTGGTTTTTTTAATTTATATATATGTATGTTGGTGTGGCGTAATTCTATCGAATCCCCAACTAAGGATGTAAATTGACAGTAAACATGACAGTGATGGTAAACATCATTTTCATAGTTTGTGTCATGATGTCATTATAATAAATTGTCATCTTATGATGGCATTATTCAATTCTATACATGTGTTGAGTTTTATGTGGAGAAGGCATAAATATCTATATAGTTAAATAGGGGCTAAGCGTAGGACCGTCGAATAAATCTGAGTACTAATATAGGGGCTAATCAAAGGACTGTCGAATGAAATCTGAGTTGTAATATAGGGGCTTATCATAGGACTGTCGAATAAATCTGAGTTATATTATAGGGGATAATCATAGGACTGTCGAATAAATCTGAGTTCTAATATAGGGGCTAATCATAGGACCGTCGAATGAATCTGAGTTATGTTATAGGGGCTAATCATAGGACCGTCGAATGAATCTGAGTTCTAATATAGGGGCTAATCATTGGACCGTCGAATGAATCTGAGTTTTATTATAGGGGCTAATCATAGGACTGTCGAATACAATCTGAGTAGTTATTTAGGGGCTAATCATAGGGACGTCGAACGGAATCTGAGAACTAATAAAGGGGTTAAGCATAAGACCGTCGAATGGAATCTGAGTAGTAATAAAGGGGCTAATCATATGACTGTCGAATACAACCTTAGTTCTAATATAGGGGCTAAGCATAGGACTGTCGAATACGATCTGAGTAGTAATATAGGGGCTAATCATATGACCCTCGAATACAACCTTAGTTCTAATATAGGGGCTAAGCATAGGACTGTCGAATACAATCTGAGTAGTAATATAGGGGCTAAGCCTAGGACTGCCGAATACAATCTGAGTTGTAATATAGGGGCTTATCATAGGACTGTCGAATAAATCTGAGTTATATTATAGGGGATAATCATAGGACTGTCGAATGAATCTGAGTTATATTATAGGGGATACTCATAGGACTGTCGAATAAATCTGAGTTCTAATATAGGGGATAATCATAGGACCGTCGAATGAATCTGAGTTATGTTATAGGGGCTAATCATAGGACCGTCGAAT